TCAAGTATTTTAATATTTAGGTTGATTTTCAACATAGATATTCAAGTGGCTGCGGGAGCTAATCATATATCATCGACACTGACCAAGGTTGCCCTGCAATATGGACAGGATTAAAGTCTTTTTGTAAGACATGCGGCGTGAAGTGCATGATCGCAGCATATATTTCTAATGGCGATCTTTGTTTCATTTATTGATCCAAATTCTAATTTCTCAGATATTGGATCTAAACAAATAGCACATATATCATTGATAATCTTATCATTATTTAGTTAATTGAATCCAGTATTCATGTTTATACAGCTCCTGTTATTTTAAGGTATTGAGGTTTATCTATAGTGTTACTTTTTCATGGGAATGATACCCGTTTTATAGTATATTTGCATAAACTGTCTTAATCTTTACATACATCAAGCTTTATCCTTTAGGTATCAAATATGTTTCTTTGTTTTGTATCATTAAAATGTATTGAAATGTGATATATAAATAAAAAAGTCAGGTTCAAAAATGTTTTTAACAAAATTTTAAATTTCAGAAAAACAATCAAAACAAAGGGATGTAAGTTAACTAGTGAAATAAATTCATTTGAATAAATCAAGGATTTGTATAGTCTTAATATACAAATCCTTGTCTTACTATACAAATCCTTGAATAAATGGATCATGTGCAATAAAGACAATGTTTTTATTTTCAATTAATATGACTTTTATAATAAAAGTTTACGCTAATAGAGATTATGAATCAGTCAATTGATTATATCATTTATCTAGATTTATTTGTTTGTTTATTTTAATATGATTATGAAATTATAAATAGCTTGTTTCATTCTAACTTTTCATTCTAACTCAAATAAAGAATAGAGTTATCTTTCTTTATACACCAATAACTGTTTGTTATACAATGTTAGTCTAGGTTGCAGTGTTGTAATTGACTGCTCCATAGGCTTACATGCAAAACAGCTGATCATTGAAATTTTTTTCATGTACATATCATGTATGTAGTAATGTGAAATTGTGATATAATCTGGAAAAAAGTGCATCATGCCACTAAGAATAAAAATTTATGAAACCCTGAAGTCAAAACTGATTTTTCTACTTACTGTTTCTACTTTCTGTTTGCTTTTATTACTAGGCCACACTACTTACAGTAAACATATCCTTCCACTTTCCTGGTTTGATATCCCCAAAAAGATGCAACATCTTTTAAAAATCTAAACATATGTTCCAATTCAGCATAAACTTTTAATCAAAAAGAAAAAATTTGTAATGACATGCCTTAAAAAAATAAATCATTTTATTTCGTTTCATTTAGTAGCCATATTTGAACATAAAAAATGCTATAAAAAGAATTCTTTAGTTGTATTTTTAAATATAATCCCATTATTATAGGAGTACCCTTTTCTGAAACAAGGCAAAATTTGGAAATAAGTCATGCCTTTCAAATGATCTGTAAATCTCATTCTAGTTTATCTTTATGAATGTTTACTAATTATTCGGATACTGTGAAGCTAGGGGAGAATTCTTATTTATTCTTTTCCTTCACTTTGATCGAACCACATACAATATTTTACCCCTCCCCCTTTTTTCCATGAAATCTATCCTCCTGCGTCTCCTGTTTTAGTCAAATTGAAAAACTATCCCAAAACTTTTTCATAATGAAGAGTTTTTTGCAATACAAATTTTTAAAGACAAGAAAGACTATACCCTTCTCTTTTTAGACTATATATGTCTTTATACATGCCTACTATATCATGGTTTTTAGGCTTTACTTCACATCCCCATGCATATAAAATTTGCAATAAAATCTTAGAATAAACAAAATGAATACTCAAGTTGGTGTTTTTGGTAAGAATATTGATTACTTGTCACACCTAAGCACAAAATCCTTGTCATCATAGATAGTATTAGAAAAATTCTACTTTTTAATCAAATTTTTAATTCAAATGTCGAATTTTCAATTAACAATGCAGTGCCACAGACAGGAAAAGAAGTCACAGACTCTTGGAAAGTGAAAATTTTGTGAAAGTCTTTTCACCAAAAGTTCATTTTATATATATTCTACCTAAATGTCAACAATTGAGCCATAAAAAAAAAACCTAAAGAAAAAAATGAGTTTTGTGTGAAGCTGTCTATTCAACTTTACAATGATTTTCAATGAAACTACTCAACTAGAATTTTCATCACAAGAAGACGTTTTTTGTATGGTGTCTTGCATTAATAATCATAATTATTACATAATTTCAGTTTTTTCAGTTTAACTTGATACCCCATGATTTTTATTTCTTAGAAAGAACTTAAATCATGACGTTTTGTCATTCTGGGCACACGAAAGTCCACATGAGCTACATATGCAAAAATTTCCCTATGCAGGTTGCAGTCTTGTAATTGACTGCTCCATAAGGCTTACATGCAACAGCTGATCTATGAAATTTTTTAAAAATAAAATGCTACATAGAATTTTTTTTTCATGTACATATCATGTATATAGTAATGTGAAATTGTGATTTAATCGAAAAAAAAGTGCATCATGCCACGAAGAATAAAAAGTTATGAAACCCTGAAGTCAAAACTAATTTTTTCTACTTTCTGTTTGCTTTTTTTACTAGGCCGCACCATTTACAGTAAACATGATATCCTTCCACTTTCCTGGTTTAATATCCCAAAAAAGGTGCAATTTTTTTTTAATCTAAATATATATTTCATTTCAGCATAAACTTTTAATCAAAAAGAAATAAAAGAACAGAGTTCCAATGTCCCCCGCATTGCACATATTTTATATTTCCAAGGGGCATAACTCTTTTAAAAAAAGTTGATCGGCCACCATTATAGAATTTGTCCGAGATATTGCTGATATTAACCTATAGTATAAGTTTTATAAAAATCTGGCAAGAATTGTACCCGAGAGAAAGCTCTAAGGAGGCCATTTTCCATAAATTTAATATTTCCAAGGGGTATAACTCATTCAAAAATAGTTGATCAGCCACCATTATAGAACTTGTCCGAGATATTGCTGATATTAACCTGTAGTATAAGTTTTATAAAAATCTGGCAAGAATTGTACCAATGAGAGCAGTAACGAGGCCATTTTCCATAAATTTAATATTTCCAAGGGGTAGAACTCTTTTAAAAGAAGTCTATTGGCCACCATTATAGAACTTGTCCGAGTTATTGCTGATATTAACATATAGTATAAGTTTTATAAAAATCTGGCAAGAATTGTACTTGTGAGAGCGCTAACAAGACCGGATGAATGGACAGACAGACAAACGGATGCCCTGTATTTCAATGTCTCCTGCAACACGTTATGCGGGGGACAAAAATTGAGTCCAGAAAAAATTCAGAAAAAAATGGACTATTTTATTTCACTCCATGTTTTGACATGCACTGGAAACTGGAGTTGTTATACAAGACTGGTACCTCTAGTGATTTGTCTTTTTTATCTTCATAATCAGTATTTGAGTGTTACATGAATATGAAAATGAAAATAGCCCTTTATTGATTTGGTGTTAAAAGCGATTTTACTAGATTTTTTTACTTAGACCACTCGGCCATGGAGGCCCCTATTTGAGATACATATTATATTTTCTATTTTGCCAGCGCCGGTAAAATAGCAACTGCCATAATATAATAATTTATCACTCCTGAAATTACAATAAAAAATGTGGAGGTTAATCATGAGACATCAGATAATACACGCCTAGGTAAGTCTTGCTTTTCCGACTTTGTCAGCGCAAGACAAAAAGCATTATATTAACCCCTAGTACTAAAACAGGTACATGTAATAATACTGAACCAACTACCTTTCCATTTTTCCTGGATTGCGGATGGTGAAAGTAATGAAAATCAATCTTATTTTATTAACAGATATATTGACAAACATTTAAGATTATTTATCAATATGCCCAAATATGTTTCACTTATTTGGCTTCCCATGTATTTTTATACTGTCAATTCAAAAAATTATTGCGATATTTTTATTAATGCCATAAATGCAACAATATCAAGTTGGCAATAATTAAAACTTGCATTCATAATTTCAGAAGTATTTTTTCCTTTATACAATTTTTGTAATCTCATCAATAGGATTTCACATTTTTGCCTGAGGTATAGGATTCACAATGCCCACATTAATTTCTGAATTTACAGTATCCTTGGTTTTCTAACCTGTTAATTTAGAAAAGTGCTTTCAACTAAGATTATTAAATTATATTTCCAGTAACACCACCATGCATAAATCTGGGCCCCAGGGCAAATCCAATTTTAACAGTAATGATGTAGTGCTCAATATTAGCTGTTCTGCACATGGCCTTATAAGATCATGGTACCATCATACTACCATGGTGCTATATTTTCTTCTATGGTGCTATCTCGGTATATTTCATATAAAAAGTATCATAAATATGGTGTTATGATTTTTGGGGACACAATGCTATTTCAAAACTTACAGATTTTCTTTAATTGACAGAACAGAATATTATACAAATTATTTTCTAAAGATAATTTTGTTGAAATGACAGTTTATCTTTGATAATTTTTAATAAATTGATAATTTTGCATTGAAATTACATTATATGAATACCATTTAAGCTTTATATGAAAACACCTCTACCAGGTGAAAGAAAGGCCAGCAACGGATGAAAAACAAAATACTAATAAATATTGCCTTTTCTATACTTTATTTACAGGTATTTAAATATAATATGTACAAGGTTTTAGGTGTTTAATCAATTTTTAGAGATTATATTCTATTCTATGTTTTTGCTTGATTTAATTTAAAAAGCATATTCAAATCATATCCAATTTGTGTACCGGTAGGTCATTTTATACATTGAAAGTTTGAAGTATATTATTTATTTTTCAAGTGTCAAAATAAAAAATGCATGTATCTAATCCTTTTTTCAAAGACCATCAAGATATATCAAAAGGGTTCCAACATCAGGCAATTATATCTTTTTCCCCTGTTGCACTTCTCCTAAAATGTCATATGATTAATAAAACTGATCATAAGTTATACTGAACTTTTTATTATGTACAAGTATCTTTTTAAAACTTGTAAGATTTTTTAATAAAGAGTTGCTTGTTTTAACTCATTCTATAATCAGATTTGCATATCTACAAACTGAGCATGCAATGTGTATCTTGTTGTTTCCATATCAAGATATTAGAAAATAAGTTCTTGTAATTCTAAGCTATTTTATAATAGGTGTACTGAATGTAACCTTTAAACTTTGAACTTTGCACCTCTGTTTTACATCAATGTAATAAATATGTTAACAAATGCTGAATAACAACAAAAAGTTTCTTGTTATTCAAAATATCTGTATGAGAACAAGTTTCCATTTTGATGTTTCTGGCAAAGTTTCTGCTCAGTAATCAGCACTTCCTGTTGCTAGGTAGTCACGGCGACCGATACCCTGTGCCTGTTTAGTCTGTAAGGCCTCCAGTTTAGGACAGTCTGTAATACGATGACCAAGACCTCCGCAGTATGAACAACCAACTTCACCTGTAAAAAGATAATATATACTGCAAATTCAGAAATAAATGTGTGCATTTATAATTGCAAATCCTTGACAACTGGCAAAAATAAGAAATATAATTAATGCAATATCAAAAAGGAAAATCACTTTTGAGACTATGAATGCGAGTTTTAATTATTGCAAACCTGATACTGTCGCATTTTTTGCATTGATAAAAACATTGCAATAATTTCTGAACTTAAAGTACATAAATGTCAAAAATGTAACCAGGTTAATTATCATTTTCTAATACAGGCCATGCATACCAATTATCATTGAATTACTACTAATGGTTCCCGCTTAACTGGCCTAATCACAAACTAATACATGACTGAGGGGTCGGGGCCAAATAATCTCCATGGAAATGATATGTGCCAATGCTAATACAACTGCATACCAAATATCATTGATCTACCACTAGTGGTTCACCATAAACTAGACCTAATCACAAACTAATACATTGTTGACGCCGCCGACACCGGAAACAGCATACCTATGTCTCGCTTTTTGACTCTGTCAAGGCAAGACAAAAAGGATAACTGTAATCACCAAAAATATTGGACAACAGTCCCATCATATCTTCTTATAAAAGCATTTCTTATCATATATGCTATCAATACACAATATAATACTTTACCTCCAATATCCAGAAATTTCTCATTTTCTGACTCCATGTTTGCTAAGAATGGTGGGACTTTTTGTTTTGCCTCGATCAATAAATGTTTCAAATCCAACAGTACTGACTCCTCTGAAAAAATGAAAGTATATACTATATAAAATCTTGAATAAAAAGAAATTTAAAAGGTTTTTGGAATATTATTTTATACTGGTAATTCAAACATATAGTGAACAGCAGTTGATAAATTGTAGCTGTTTAGCTCTTACCATTTCCAAAATATGAGGTGCTTAAAACTGACTTTTAATTTAAAAATTTCTATCAAGGTTTTATTTTTTTCTGGTCTCTCTTCCCAATTCTGATGAAATTCCCTGTCTGTGTTTTTTATTTGAATTAAGAATTACAGATTTGAAATGATAGTGGTTAATAAATTGCTTCGCTGAGCACAGCTGGATACGACCACAGATGTCCAACCCTGAAAAGTTGGGCCAAAATGGACACAATATTCACGCTTGATACAGGTCTGAATTTGGATTGTAACTAAATTTTTGACACATAATTTATTTTACCCCGGTTTTTTGCTTTTGTGCAATACACTATGCTGTTGAATATCAACCCCCCAAAAAAAATATTTGAAGAAATTTTCTTTTAATTTCTGAAATCTGAAATGACCTCAAGACAATCATCATTTCTTAATACATAATTTACAAGCAGTGTAAGGAAGGTAATCAAACAGTGTTCTTTAATTTGAATTGGATTACCCCCCTTACACTGCTTTTAAATTGTCTCAATTGTCCTTTAACCAGAAAAACCCTTGTTTTTCCCCTTTTTTTGCCCCTAATTACATAATGGTTTGAGCCACAACACCCCAAAGTCAATCCTAACCATCCCTTTGTTGTATGGAAGTATGTGGTATAATTTCAGAGAGATTCATACACTTTAACACAAGTTATTGTCTAGAAACTACAAAAATGCTTATTTGGGCCCCTTTTTTTGCCCCTAATTCCTAAACAGTTGGGACCATAACCCCCAAAATCAATTCCAACCTTCCTTTAGTGGTTATAAACCTTGTGTTAAAATTTTATTGATTTCTATTTACTTATACTAAAGTTATTATCCAGAAACCATCTGTTTTCGGACGACGCTGTGGACGACGACGACAACGTGATACCAATATACGACCAAAAATTTTTTAATTTTTGCGGTCGTATAAAAAGTGCTAGAATTTACCAAAGCCCAGAGTACTGGTTTTGATGGATTAATATATGTTGCATGCTCCAAACAGATTTTAAAGAAAAACCAGTTAAAGATTTTTTTTGTCTATTTTCAAAAGCTAGAAGGGTCTAAATTAACAAAAAGTTACACTCTTTGTAGAACTTAGCATACCCTCCCACTTAATTCAAAGTATCAGCAAACAGGAAGTAGGCATCTGACAGATCAGAACAGTGATCACAAGGTACAACCCATCTTTATTCAGCTGCTGACCAAATACTTTAAAATTACTTATTCAGTAGAACTGGAGAAATGTGTGATGAAAATTTGAAGTTCATTCAATATATTGAAATATTCATTGTATTGGCAAACAGGAAGTAGGAGTAAGACAGATCAGAATAAATTGCTTCGCCGAGCGCAGCTGGATACGACTTCAGAGGTCCAACCCTGAACAGTTGGGGCAAAAAAAGACACAATATTCGCACTTGATACAGGTCTGAATTTGGATTGTAATTCATTATTTGACACATAATAGGTTTCTGACACAGAATAACTGTAGTCAAAGAACTTAGAATTGGTTATATGATTTGAATTTATATTCAATTTTTTGCTTTTGTGCAATACACTATGCTGTTGCGAATTGACCTCTCCCCCCCCCCCCCCCCCCCCCCCTTTTTTTCAAAAAAAAAAGATTTGAAGGATTTTCTTTTTGATTTCTGAAATCTTGAGGAGAAGAAATTGTCCAAACACCCCCACCCCCCACCACCAACTTTATTTTACCCCCCCCCCCCCCAATTTTTTTTTATCCTCCCCCCACCCCCTTTTTCCAAAAAAAAATTCTTTCCCTCAGTCATGGTCATAATTTCAATTCAAATTTCCAATGGAGTTTGCAACCATAATAACCCATTTAAATACATCATAAAAGTCTTAAAATAGAAAATGACATACATAATCATAGCTAAAATTAATTTACCTTAATCAGCATTTTTAAAATTATTAAAATAGTAACTTCCTAAAATGAATTGACAGCTAATCACCTCAAGACAATACAAAAATTCTTTATACATAATTTGAAAGCAGTGTAAGGGAGGTAATTCAAAGTTGTGTTTGAATTACCTTCCTTACACTGTAATTTGTACTTAAGTTATTGTCCATTAACCAGGAGACCCTTGTCTTTTCTCACTTTTTTGCCCCTAATTCCTAAATAGTTTGAGCCATAACCCCCCAAAGCCAATCCTAACCATCCCTTTGTGGTATGGAAACTTGTGGTATAATTTCAGAGAGATCCATACACTGTTCCACAAGTTATTGTCATGAAACTAGAAAAATGCTTATTTGGGCCCCTTTTTGGCCCCTAATTCCTAACCAGTTGGGACCATAACCCCCAAAATCAATCCCAACCTTCCTTTTGTGGTTATAAACCTTATGTTTAAATTTCATAGATTTCTATTTACTAATACTAAAGTTATTGTCCGGAAACCAAATGTCTTTGGACGACGACGACGTGATACCAATATAAGACCGCAAAATTTTTTGTGGTCGTATAAAAAATGTTCATATATTCCTGTAAAGCTGCTGACCAAATATTAAGTTATTCTGTTCAGTAGTACCAACAAGTACTGTGCTAAACATTATCACATGAAAAATGAAGTGACAGATAATGATGATGGATGTTTCCTTAACGTCCAGCGGCAAATTAAATGCATATTCAGGACAAGACCATATTAATATTATATGAATATTAACCCTGCTTTGTAATAGACAAACACGCTTAGTCAGATTTTTAACTAGCTAGTTCACAAGGTAACAGTCCGCAGGAAGACATGTCACTCTATCCGTACACATTATTCTGATTCTGAGCCAACCAGTCTTTGCTCTTACTCCTTAATCCCAGGTGCTTAGCAGAAAAGCAGAAAATGCCAATTTTAAAGTCATTGGTTTGACACAGCAGGGGTTCAAATCAATGACCTCCTGCACTAGAGGCAAACACACTACCACGATTCCACAGAGGCCGTTACAGAAATGTACAGTAAGGATGTTAAAAACATCAACAACATAAACAACACCATGTAATACTATGACCACAAAAATATGTAGTTATGAAGATGTTACCATGTCATCCACTTGAGATGGTTAAATATATGTAAAGTGAATTGACAAAAGTTGAAAGATGTTAACTTTTAAAATTTTAACAGTATTTGTTAGTATCATTTGCCTTTTACCATGTAAAGTTGGAAATTTTGGCAAGGGGTTTATTTTTACTAATTTGAACTCATAATTTAGATTAAATCAAGAAAAATATCATCTCTGGTTAATTGTTCTTTTAGGATGATCAGAATTAGACACAAAAAAAAAAGTGATCAATTTGTTTTTTCTCTTTTTCCAAGGTTTGGTCCAAGAAATCTCAAAATTTAAACTTTGCCAAAATAACCCACTTTTCAGTTGTCTGAAAAGTTCAAAAATGTTTACATCATAACTGAATTTGAACAAAATAAAGAACTACATTTCATAAAACAATAAACACCAAATCATAATCAATCAATCAAATCTATTGTTGTTTCTGAGTTGAGGCTTGTTGAAATCTTATCGCAACATCTCTCAATTTCTCTAACTTTGTGATACCATGTTTATACTTTTGTACCCCAGACAAATGTTTCGTCTACAAAAAACTCATCAATGATGCTCGAATCAAAAAATTTAAAAGGCCAAATAAAGTACAAAGTTGAAAAGTATTCAGGACCCTTTGTAGGGAGGAGGGTGGTGGTACAATAACTTACCAACAGCTTTATTAATAAATGTTGTTGCTATTCCTGTTTTACCACATCTTCCCGTTCTTCCTATTCTGTGAACTGTAAATCACAAAACCTATATTACTTCTTTATATTAACTACATACAAATTTTAAAAACAATATAAATCAATGATATTGAAAATGAGATGCATTTACTCTTTTAGTGTAAACATTAAGAGAAAATTAAAAAATGACTATCTAACAAACAAACAACAGACATATGTGAAAAACATCAATTTCATATTTCTTATTTCATCAATAATAAACAGCTGCACCAAGAGTGCACGATACACCTTTATTACTCATACTGAAATTGTTGCAAGAATAAAATAGGATATTTGGAAGGCATTTAATCATTAGATAACAAATTGTCTCTGTAGAAAAACATGCCTGGAAATACCATTTTTTAAAATGACAGTTTGTTATGTTCACCAAAACCAACAATTATTCAAAGTTTCTACCAAATCAATGCAACCAAACTCAAGTTATGGTACAATATGTGAAAAATTTACTAAAATCTGAAAATTAAAGTCCCATAACACTGGAGCGACAAAGTGGAAAATCAAAAAATCAAAAAGGTGCTTCCTTTCATCCATCCCACAATAATGTATTATGAATTCAAGAATACTGGAGTGATATGAACATTTTTGAATCCTGTTTTGAATGATATTTCACTGTTGGTAATTGAGGCAAGACCAGGATATTCAGGACTTAGATTTTATTGTCAGACAATTTGGAAGTTAATATGCTTGGATATGTTATTTGACAGCAATTCCTTGAGGATGGACAATCAGAAGACTTATGTTTTTGTCATTTACAAAATTTAATGTTGATGGCAGTTCTTTGACAGTCTCTGCTGAATTTATACACAACATTTCTACAATCAGGTGATTTAGAGCTTGACATTTCGTATAAACACTTGTCTATGTTGAGGATTGTATGTTGAAATCTAGATATCTTTTTTTTCTTTTTGAGTTGCTGTCTAATTGATGTGTACTCTTTGCCTCTATATATTAAGTTTGTGATACATGTATATCCATATAAAAATAAGTAGATGTGTAGACAAACATGGATGTAAGAAACTATAGTTTCATCATAATCATTTCATCATTATAATTATGTTCTCTGATAAGGGTTTCAGTGATTGTAACCTTGTCAGAGACAAATTTTTCTCCATATGTGCCTATGATTTTTATATTTTTTTTTATTCAAGAGGGATTTTTCACCAAGCTCATTTTAACAGATGAGGCTACATAAATAATTACAATCTAATTTCCCAACACAAAGAAAAACACTTTAATAAATTACCATAATTTTCTATATCTTCTGGCATATCATAATTAATGACATGTTGAATCTCAGGGAAATCTAACCCTTTAGAGGCCACATCTGTGGCTACAAGGACATCCTTCTCAAACTTCTTAAACTGTTCTACAGATCGAGATCTTTCTTCTTGGTCTGAAAAGGGGAGATTATTTTAGTTTAATATTTGATTTCAAGTACTGTGAATTCATTCATTTTTGTGGGTATCAATTTTCACAAAATTTTTAAAATTGTATTTTCATGGATTTCTTTAATTTGTGGTTTTACTAAAGTCTGCATACAAGCCTATAGAAAATATGTACTCATTTGAACATTTAAAATCATTGTCCACCTGTACCCATGAAATCCACGATAATTGGTATCCCACTGATAATAATGAATTCACAGTAGATACTGACCAGACAGGCACATATATAGATAGATAGCAATAAAATTCCTAAGATTAACTTAGAAAGTGAATAAGGTTTGAAGAAACAATATACATTGTAGAAGAGTTTACCTTCTGAAAAATATAACTCAAATACTGGATGAAAAATATGCACACTTTGCTAATCATCAATGAGGGGGGTAGGACCTTTATCAGGACTCCGGGATCGGGTGTTTTTAAGCTCAGGATTTTGGGATTGATCCTTTCAGGATCTGGGAATTCATTTTTTGAATTTCGGGATGTCTGGATTTTAATTTTTTTAAATTCGGGACCTCAGGATTCCATGTTTTTAAGCCCGGGATTATGGGATCAGGACCCCTCCTACCCCCCTCATCAATATACATCACATGATAGGCATAAAAAAAAATCTGATATTATCAAATACAAAACATTAACATTTGTCTGCAATTAAATATTGTGAAAAATCAGCCTTAATTCACAATAAAAACATTTTTTTATGAAGGAGCTAAATATGATCCATCATACAGGGTTGTGCAGCTGATATTTCACAAAATACACATGCTCAGAACTGAAAATCTAATTATTATTCTGGTTTCTGTGTTTTTATAATAAAAAACATACTGTTTATTGGTTGGTTACAAATTTTCGTGGATACAATGGGTAATGAAACCACAAATTAAGTGTTGAATGAAGTACAAATCTCTTAAAGCTTTTTACGCTGAATTTGGCCAAACCACAAAATAAATTTTCCATGAAAACACACTTATTTAACAATCCATGATAATTGATATAAAAAAAAAATAAATGAATCCACAGAAATTACTGAAGCTTGTAGTGATAATATCAAGTCAAAACATAAAGTGAAAATCTATTGTGACTGTACGAACAAAATTAAACACCAGCATTAAATATGACTAATGCCTAAAGCTGGATGTTTCCAAAACAAAACCCTATGAAAACCATTATACACAATGTACATTTTTCTACAGCTTTTCTTACCTTTGCCACCATGAATAGCTACAGCTTCTACTCCTTTCAGTAACAAATACTCATGAATGGCATCTACATCTTGTTTCCTTTCAGCAAACACCAACACCTACAATACACAGAATTCATCTTTGATTCTAATTACAAGAGTGCACACCCTCAAATGTCTCGCCTGCTTGATTGATCATGATTGAATTTTAATTGAAAGCCTTTAAGATTTAAGGTTTTAATACAGGTATCACAAAAACTTAACAACAATTGTCAGAAAACTTTCATATTTTCCAAAAGCAAACTGATTCTGAAAAGCAAAAGACCGAAATGGTATTTGAGATTTTTGTAAAGATTAAAATCCATTATAGAAGGAAATTTCGTCATTTTTATTTTATTGAAATGAAGGTTTTTAATTGCCATTTTTGCACTTATTTTTGCTTGCAATGCTTGTCAGGTAATAAAACTGCCACTCAGCATTGTATGATAAATAAAATTGCTCTCCAAATTACTGTCTTCATGTCCCTAAAAGATATTGGCTAATGATAGATAATAACTTTTTACCTGTATTAACACCTAGGATACCAATATTGTACATTTTGATTCATTTGTAATTCATAATTTTCTTATATATACTAACAGGTGGAGATGTTTTCTGTAGACATTCCAGGATATAGCAAATTTTGGCTTCCTGTTTCACATATTCCACTTCCTGTATAATATTCTGACTAGCGGCACCAGCTCTTCCAACGTTCACTGTCACAGGTTTAACAAGAGCACTCCTGGCAAAGTTCTGGATCTTTTTAGGCATAGTAGCAGAGAACAGCAAAGTCTGCCTTTGTCCCTGTTGAGGATAATGTTGGATTTTAAAAATTATAATCAATGCAAAGAATTTAGAAATAAGAGCAATACCTTTATTTTCTTTATTGATAGATTGTAGGGTAAATTGCTAGATTATAGGGTACTTAAGATTCATAAAAGTCCTAATTTGGTTAATTCATTTGAATTTTATTACAAGTGGATTATCTCAGAAAAACTATTTGTGACACTGATGTCTACAATCTTTTCTGCATAGTAAGACATTTAGTGACATTACACCCATCTTAATCATAATGTTGATTGGTATGTTTTTTTTTTGTTTTTTGTTTTTATTGTCTTTTTTTAATAAAGAACCCTATGCTATCTCTGGGGTTAAACTTATCTGTAAATTCCTCCTTTTTTCATTTGTTATAGTCTCAGTTGAGGTCAAAGGTGAAGAAACTGCATACCCTTTGACCTTAGTTCTTGTGTTCAGTTTCTGTAAAACTTTATTTGTCATCATTTTTCTCTTCGTTATGGGTATATTTCATAAATGATTTTTATCAAATCAACTAAAATCTCAAAAACATCTTAGAATCTCATATTCAACATCTGTAAGAATTGAATTTTTTTTTAAATTCATTAGACGTGACAAGAACAAATATACTGCACGGAGTGTGATACAAAAAAGTGATACGAAAAATGTGTTAATTTGATGAGCCTATTCAGCATCATGAAACAATATTGCAACATTTTCAATGGCTATTTGTTAGGCCATTAATGACTTTCAAAGGTTCAGACAATGTACATTTCCTACATGGCAACAGCGATATGTGATTTCTGCAAGAATATTCAGAACACTCACTTTTCACCTGAAAATCTTCTTTTTGTCAAATTTTATCACATTCTGAAGCATACATAAAGTTTTGAAATATCTGATGTGAAAGATTGTTAAGATTGTTACTGGAACAGAATATATGATGTCATTCTGGTATGTGCAAAAGACTAGTTCAATGATTCATGGAATTTTTTATTTAAGGTTATTTTTAAAGTTACAGTGAGTGGGCCATGTCACAGATTTTGGTAAAATTTTACATACAAACTTCAGCTCTTTGAACTACAACTGAAAATATCTCTATGATTGTCCGAAATATTACTGATTGAATTCATTCAAAATAGGTGAACATTTGTATAGAAAGCACATAAAATCGGAGAAAAATGTTGTTAAATTTATCTTAAAATCATCAAATCTCCAATTTTATGTACAAAGATTTTTCTTAAAAAATTGTATGTTGTTGATACATAAATTTCCATATATAATTATCTTTTTTTTGACAAAAAATTGATAAATGCCAATCTCAAACCTTGAAATATGAGAAGATTGTTCTAACATCTTCTTCAAATCCTAAGTCAATCATTCTGTCAGCTTCATCCATCACTAAATATCTACACACGTCTAATGTCATCATCTTCTTATCTAACATTAACATTAATCTCCCAGGGGTCGCCACTACAATATGGACTCCTCTGCAAAGAAAATAAAGAAATGTGCTAACACAAACGATTTACTCTGTCTGCCAAAACTACTCCTGTAAGATTACAATGAAGAACAACTGATACTATGTTTGTTAAAACTAAATAGGGGCAAAAGCATTACCCAAAAATATTGACTCACATCAGCATAATTGCACATGACACCTTATGGAAAAATATCTTTTATTTGGCAGGCTATTGCTCATAACTTAATTTTAGTGGAATGATCTGAGATGGAGAGAATTTTTGCGGTTTCTGTAGTCTGCAAGAAGTTTGAAGACCTTTAAATGACATGCAAGAAAAAATCCAAACATATTAGTATTGCTTTCATATAGTATAATGTTGTGTGATCCCCTGAAGCATGTTATTGAATAGAGAAATATTTTGCTGCAGTCTTATTTTTGTTGTTTTCGAGGTAATAGTTGAAACATGAAATTAATTCTACAGCAAAAATTTAAAGAACCTGATTCATACAAAGAAGACTGTATACCAATAGGATATGTAGACGATCAATCTATAACAGCAATTTTTGAAGATGACCTATTTTCTAAATGAAATGAATGTAAGAATTCTTTTTTTAATTACTTAATGACAGTTTGAATGTCCCTTTGGTATCCTTTGCCTCTCTTTTAAGATATTATCAAATAAATTAATCTCAAGCAGTCTATGCAAATACAACTGTAAAGTTACAAAATAATTGACTCAAATTTATACAGAATACCCAGAAACTTCAAATTCAAAACAGTGCAAATTAAGATTCAGTTGTCAAATCTTAAATATAAAGACAACAGGAACATTTCCCAGTTTACATTACTTAATGATTATCAAACTTAAGATCTAAAAAAGTAAATTTCCTAAACTTATTTCTTTAAAAGTTGCTTATGTTTTCTATTAATCCAACACTTTGGGAAAACTAATGATTCAATCCTAGAAAATAACTAATATTTAAGCACTCTTGCTTAAAAAAATTAAATATTGCAAGTGTATTCAAAAATTTACATCGTCAAAGTAGGATATGACCCTTTTTTTTTTTACTGGTGCAGCTTGGCATCACTATCAAAACTTCACTAAAACTCTAATCCATGAATTATGTCAGAAACTTATCAAAAATAAATGGTGAATTTGTCCATGGGACAAAGATGATGCCCCTGCTTGCATATCATATAAAGTTATAAAGGGACATAACTGAAGAACGGTAAAAGTGACACTACCCAAATTTGTACTTGATCTGAGTTTTGTGGTAATAAGTATTGTGTATAAGTTTCATAACATTTGGTTGAGGCAAACTTAAGTTAAAGAACGGAAACGAAAAATTCACTAATTTTTCCTTTTGTAAAGGGGCATAACTCTAGAACAGTAAAAGTGACACCACCAAAATTCAAACTTGATCTGTGTTTTGTAGTAATAAGTATGGTGTATAATTTTCATAACATTTGGTTGAGGCTAACTTAAGTTGAGAACAAAAACCAAAAAATTCAGCAATTTTTCCATTTGAAAACAGCATAACTCTAGAACTGTTAAAGTGACACCACCAAAATTCAAACTTGATCTGTATTTTGTGGTAATAGGCATTGTGTATAAGTTTCATAACATTTGGTTGAGGCAAACTAAAGTTAGAGAACTGAAATGAAAAATTCTGCAATTTTTCAATTTGTAAAGCTCATAACTCTAGAACGGTTAAAGTGACCCCACCAAAATTCAAACTTAATCTGTGTTTTGTGGTAATAAGCATTGTATATAAGTTTCATAACATTTGGTTGAGGCAAACTAAAGTTAGAGAACAGAAACTTTTCCATTTGTAAAGGGGCATAACTCTAGAACTGTTAAAGTGACGCCACCAAAAATCAAACTTGATCTGTGTTTTGTGGTAATAAGCATTGTGTATAAGTTTCATAACATTTGGTTGAGGCAAACTAAAGTTAGAGAATGGAAACCAACTTTGGGAAGTACGTACGTACGGACGGACAAGGCATAAAAATATTTTACTACTATGTTAACATATAATATCTGGCACCTTTTAATAATACTGAGTTGATCATTTATGGGAACTCCACCAATACACAAACCACACTTTAACTCTGGGAAGCCGTCTGCTGATAAAGCTTTACAATAGTGACTGATCAATTCACTTGTCTGCTTTGCTAATTCTCTCTGTAATGAAAGACATATCATACAAATACTGGATATACTGTAAGCAAACAAGATTGTATATGTTGCTGTGCACACCCCTACTTGTAATTTAGAATATTTGAAAACATAAAGTAAGTGTCTTAACAGATTTGAAAAGCGCTCATCACCGCCAAGCTCCTGACTAGATATGAAGTCTTTCTATTCAGTAGTACCTGCAAAAAGTGTTAAGGATAATTTTTAAGTTCATTCAACATACTGAATAATTTAAAGTATCTGCAAACAGGAAGTAGGTGTCTGACAGATCTGAAAAGTGCTCAAACATTACAACTCATCGCTATCAATCTGCTGAAATATTTGTTGGTCAAACAGATGGACGAACTGACAAGGTGAATGCAATATAGTCCTCACCTTAGTCCTAGATTGGAGGTATAAGTACCAATTATCAGGTTGTCTGCATATTGATATTGTAAAATATCAGCTGTGAGTCACAATATGAAATTTCTTGTCAAGTGAGTGCAGCGAACGAGTTCAAAATGGCTTCATATTGTGTCGAGCAGCTGATATTTTACAATATCAATATGCAGACAACATGATAACCAATTTATTGGATTGTATTTGTGTATCTTTGTTTCACCAGCAAACCGGAAGATAATGTGATAAGTTCAGGTCAAACTTATCAACTTTGGTTCATTCATTATGACGTCGGTGATTTGTCCAGGTCAAAGTTTTTAAGGCCAGGTCAATGTATTTGACGTCAAAAAGCCGTGATATGCAATTTTATAAAGAGCTGAGGAGAGTGATACAGACCATGGGATTACCGATAATGATTTTCTTTAGGTTTATTCTAATTATTATGTTCTGCATCTAAAATCTCAACTTTAAATGTACTGGTAGTCATATCACATTTAATAGTGTTCAAAATGCTTCATATTTGTTTAATCTTGGGAATTTTTCGTACATAAACTGTCATCACAAAGACATTGACAGTAAAACTGTTGCTAATATTTTCCTATTTAGTATCTTTTTTTAATATTCATCATACCCCTCACTATTTGTCTAATTATAATTAATCCTTATCAAGATGATCATGTTGGGTTTTTTTTGTGTTCTTTGTTTTATGAATTTAGTTCCATTATAGTAAATTCTTTATTTTCATAAAAAATCTATATCAAGAAAGAATAGAAAAGCACGTTAAATGTAGGAAATGCAGTAAAAAGGCTTGATTTCATATAAGTAGTTAAAGTACTACTGCAAGCATTATTCTAAATTATATGATTTATTATTGTTTTACTTGTACTTGGTTTTGTATGTTATTTTGTCGGTCATAATAGTATTATAGACATAAAAGGTGCTTTTCTCAGCTAATTGTATTTTCTTTTATATACTTTTTTTTATTCCATGCATCAAGATTAAAATTGAGAGGGTTTAGTTCCCAGAAAACTAATTTAACCCCACTGCATGTTTTTGTGTGTCAGTAAGTTGTCTTTGTCACATTTTTATAATTTTTATTGGTTATTTGGCATTTACAACAGATCTTTAATAGTCTATGTTTAATTCATTTACAATAACCTAGACTCGAAGGTTGACATATTGTATAGACACCAGTTATTTGAAGACTGTATTGACCTCTATTATATATATAAAATGTTGTTTTATTTTTTTTTGTCATTGAGTTGGTGTTTCATTGATGTATCCATCAGATCTCCTTTTAATCAGTTTGTTTCACATTAATTTCAAAACAGATGAAAAACAAAACAAAGTCTTAAATAATCATTATATAATTTAATTTTGGATGTAACACGTCTTCTGATTGGCTGAAAGTGTTTTGTCTATCAGCTCATAGACATAATTTTGTGATGTGACCGCGACGTCATCAACGTTTTTATCATGATTTACTCCTTTTTAGAATTAAATTATAAGAAATGACTTTAATAATTTTTCTGTCTATTCGAAAAAACATAAAAAATGTGGTGCACACTTTTAAATAACCCGCTATGCGGGTTATTCAGTGTGCACCATATTTTTTATGTTAATTCTTCATAGACAGAAAAAATATTACAGTCATTCCTTAAATACACACCATTGAAAATTCATCATCTGATCTAAGGTCATTTTATTTAAGCAATATGAAGTTTTTATTTTCCTTAATTAACTCACTCATAAATGTGCAATCTGTTTTCACAAAAATGATTCATGTAGCAATAAGGAACATTTGTCAAATTTTTACCCACAACCAAAACTTTTGTAAAAAATACATCCTAGTAGGTCCAAAATCAGATAATACATTTTCAGCGATGTTTTTAAATTGAGTGTACTTACTGAAGGACATATAATCAATCCATATGGACCTTCACCATCTATAAATGGAAGTCTCTTTTCTTGTTCCAGTGAAAACATAATAATGGGAAGGATGAATACCATAGTTTTCCCTGACCCAGTAAAGGCAATACCAATCATATCTCTACCTAACAACCTGAAATCATAATAAAGACAGTGTGTCTAAATGCTTAGAACATGAAATACATGTGCATGGCTTATATTTGTAATACAAGTTTATGCTGCAGGTAATTATATTCAATTGATTGTTTAAAAGGACGGGATGAAACATTAAGGCGTTTGTAATCTTTAGTCCTATATTCTACTTTAGTGAAAAAACACAGAAAAGGCAAAAATAAACTGGATGTTGTGACTTCATTGTACACAAAAATCTTATTTTCGACATTTATAGATATTACAGAAACACTTGAATGGCAATAACTTATCCTTTTTAAAGAAAACTTGATAGACTTGATAGGTTTAGTTATGTGTAACTACAGATTTAACAATACTCACACTATTGGGATGCCATGTATCTGTATAGGTGTAGGTTTGGTTATGAGTAACTACAGATTTAACAATACTCACACTGCTGGAATGCCTTGTATCTGTATAGGTGTAGGTTTAGTTATGCCTTTATGTTTCATGGCATTCAATATGGCCCTAGGAAATTTCATTTCTTTAAAGTATTTTATTGGAGGTGGCAAGTCCTCTCCTTCCACCAGAATATGGTATTTCTTCCTTAGTTCTTCATGTTTATGTTCAGATCTGTGTAAGATATATCTGGGAGGAGTCCACCTGCCAATTAAAAACAAAATAAAAATATACACGTGAAACTATTAAAGCATCAAAACATAAAACTAAGGAATAACAGAAGATGTGGGATATATGTGGACTAGACAGCAACCCACCAACATATAAAGCCCTAAAAGCATTGAAGATCGTCGACATGGACGTCTGCACTAGAATGTTGGCAGATTAATAATAAAAGGACACATTGGCAAAGTGCAAAACAGTTTTTACAAAAGATGAAACAACCAGAATGTGACTAATATTCCTGATTTGTTATAGATCCTTCAATTAATGACAGGCTGGTTAATAATATATCTTTTTTTCAATTAAAATAGTCCTTTTCATTATTTTTTTTTTTGCCAAATAACATCGTAACTCAGACCTTTATTCTTTCTATGCTTTTTTTCTAATTCTCAAGAAACAGGAAAACAAGTTCTACATTGTAATCATTTGTTACTTATGGTAATGCCATTGTATACAAATAAAAATTACACTTTTTTGACTGATTGATTGACTGATTGGTTATTAAAGCCACTTTCAGCACTATTGTGCTATTTCGTGGGTGGTCAGTTTTTATTGGTAAAGAAAGCCTGAGTAACCGGAAAGAACTACTGACCTTCGTTATGAAAACTGACAATCCTAGTCAATTAAGATTGAAGTCTGAACACACCTGCCATGTGCAGGATTCAAACTCACAACCTCATTGTTGACAGGCTCCAAAAGTTTAAATATAGGTTTATTCTTTTTCCAATTCATATTATCTGTATTTGTAGAGATTGGGATTCAAGGCTTGTGTTGACGATTTGGACTTTATAATTTCATTCTTATATTATGTTTTATACTCTATCATAATTGATTTGGTGCATCTCTCAATCTAAGCAAGTTTTCAGTTGTTATATTTTGAAGTAATCAGAAAAAGTTTTATGTTTGGATAAGCATAGCAAAGGAGAACATAAACCAGGTTTTATATAGCATGTGATCCTTAAAAATAATTGAAGCAGCCATAGCTAGTTACAAGGAAACAACCATTACAGTTCAAGTGACCTGGTGATAAAAATATAGTTTATAGTTACCCTGTTTTTATTGGGTCTTCATACTGAATTCCCTTGGCTAACTCAGCCACACCCATCAAAGCTGTAAATAACCAAAAAATCAATTCTAAGTAAGACGTTAATTTAATATGTGTTTGTCTGTTTTGTTTAAACCCATGTATTATTTTGTAATTGTAATATTTTAGGACTGTCAGGTCAAATTATCCATCTGCTTCCCGTTGACTGACACATGTCTGACCAATGACTCTAAAACGTTTTATTGTCTTGCAAAGAAAAATGTTTCAGAAATAAGTGTTTTATGTTGTTCGACAGCAGATTACAAATCCTTTTCTACAGACCTAATTTGTGAGAAAGTTAACCAAAATTGAGTGATCATCACATAAGACAGTGTAAACTTTCTGTCACACATGCACAAATTATCACATGAGTAGTGTAAATCAGGATCAGACTTGGAGTTTTTTCCTGAATGTATTTATAAGTATAATTAAAACATTTTTTTTTCCAAATCAAACTACCAACCTTTTTGTTTTGTGTCATGAGATTACATATACTTTTTTATGTTTCAATTTGAAAAAAAAAAACTATCAAAAATAACATTACAACATAATAGTTACTGCTATAATAAAATAAGCATTTGATTCTGAATAAGTATTTTACCATTATTCTACTGGGTTATGACATTTTTTCTTTTGCACAAAACAAATCCAACAAGTAAAAAAAGTGTTTACCAAATGAAAATAAAAGTTAGCAAGGCTTATCTCCCTTCCCATATAGAAATCACATTCTTTTTTCATTTTTTGATGTAGATTAGTATTTTAAATACCTTTGTTCTCAGCAACACTTTCCAAAATCTTTGCTTCTTCTTTCAGCATCTTTTCTCTAGCTGTTTCTTTTCTAACTGCAATTTAAACAAAATCAGTAATCGAAAACAGTTAAACAAACAACCAAGGCACAGTTGTTCAAAAGTGTGTTATTCAAAAACAGATGAATTCAGTTTTTAGTCCTGTTCACAGTCACGTTTGCTTTACTAAATCAAGACTGCTTTATGTCCAGCATCAAATGTCACATGCATATGCAGCTAATGAGTTATGGATATACCCATAAATAGACATATTGATCCAGATTTTTCAAAAAGGCTGCAATACATAGGAAGACATGTGACCTGACAAGGGCACATCATTCTGACTTTGAGCTAAACAATCTTTGTTCTTACTCCTTAATGCTGTGTTTTGACAGAAAAGCAGCAAATACATTTAAAAGTTTTAGGTTTGACCAAGCCTGGGAACAAACACAGCATCTCCTTTACTGAAGGGATGACACAACACACAATCTCCCTCACCCAAGGGAAGACTACACCATAAGACCACATAGGCAGTTTCAAAAACCACTGAACCTGTAAAAAACACTGGTACTAAGAACCACAGATGGTGTAATCTGTTGAAAAGTACCAAACATTTATACTTATGGTAAAGACAGACATCTTACTTCTAGTTAGTAGGTTTGGAACATTGGATTTCATTCCAAAATATGAAATGCCCCCAAACCATGATCATTTGTGAAGTGTTAGCAAGTTCAGAAATCATGGTTTAAAAACTAATTTTAGTGCTTCATGCCAAATAATGAATACTAAGTAATGGCAACCATTTTTGCAGACTTTAGGGTAATCTGACGTAAGTTTAAAAAAATGATCCCTCCTTTAATATAATATTATCATGCAGGTTAGGCCAAGCTTAAAATAATATTTGTTTGCCCTTCTCCAACCAACCAATTTTCGACTGGGTAGGTAGGTAGGCAAAATATTTTATTCTATTTTGTTTAGCTTAAAAAGTATAATTTTTAGGTAGGCTTAATTGTTTTGGGTCAGTTCGAGAAGGCACACAAATAAAATTTTATTTTAGGCCTCAAGTTTGGAATATAAAGAAACATGAAGAATTATTGAGGATGTTGGCCTCTCAAGTCAAGTCAAAATCAAGTGGAAACAAATTTCCAACCTTGTGCCTTTTTCTTGAGTTCACTGTGTTGATCCAGTAAGCTGACATGTGCCTTAGGTCCAGTATCTTCCTCTTCTGGTTCATCACTACTTTCTGATTTCTCTTCTTCCTTTGGTTTGACTTTTCCCAATCTTTTCTCAGCCTCTTGGATCTGCAATATTTGTGCATTACATAAAAATCAGGAGCTAAAAATCTAAACTTAAGGCCAGGATTTTTTAATTTATTCATCTATGGATATTTAATCTGAAAAGTATAGAACTATACTGTATCTTGTTAAAATATATCTCTGCTTCATTCATGAAAAGCTATATTATGTTCAGGAGTAGTATTTGCTGAATGTATCAGTCGAGAGAAGGTCAAATATCATGAGCCGCATTTAATTAAGTGCACCAATGATCAAGCATCTCCATGAAGGGTAAATACATGTATGGCATATATACACTATGAAAAATACCAAAGGAGTGATTTTAAAAATGCATCCATGTGCATATACCAATGGACAACAGTGAAAATCAACCAAATTCATCAGATAAAAGAAAATACATGATAATTATACACTGGCTATCAACCAATCAAAATCCAGGATATTCATATTAGGTGTAATTATATATACATACAATATTTTTTTACAACTATGATGCTGTTATCAGTTAACTTCTATGGAAAAATGGTGGTGTTTAAAATAAAGAACAACTGTTCAGCATGGTTTCAAAAACATCATTAATGATTTCGACATGTATTATTTAATGGTAATTATATAAATATCGCATAACTTATGTTCTGCCACAATATATCTACTTTTAGTACTTATATCATACTAAAGAATACTGCAGTAGAATCTTCACATTTTCTGTTTTTGATTTAACAATTTTTTTAGGCTCATCTAAAAATTGTATGAACTATAAAATAAGACAAAGACGACTGAAATAATTTCTCTATTCATACATTTTATTCTGCTGACAAAAATTATATTATGTGTGTAACTTATCATTGCTTATAGACACCAAAACAACACAGGTAAACAATTACAGGTCGAAATTCTGTCTAACGTGAGGGTAAAACTGAGAATGGAAATGGGGAATGTGTCAAAGAGACAACAACCCGACCAAAGAGCAGTAAACAGCCAAATTGCAAATGGCACTTATTTTGACAGTTTTTTAACCTATGTTTATTTATGATCCAGAAAAATGCTTCCATTCTGTGTTTATTTTGTAGATGTATCATTATATACTTTATAGTTTCACCAATTTAATTTTGAATCTATATTGAATTATAGAAAAACAAGTTTGAACCAACCTCCAAACGACCAATAATTCTGAAATTAGGAGTACCCAAATTGCCTCCATGCTTAAATTCACATCCATAAAAATCGAATAGCTAAAGTTCATTTCTTCAAATATTTAGAACAATTTGACAATAGTCCATGCTTACTATTCATTTTTTTAAGAAATGGATGCCTTTGACATGTATGTTAATTGCTCATTTTTAAAAGTTGACTTTTTGTGGATGTCCCATGGCTACTTTTCGTAGATTTTCTTTTTCACTGCATACTTCAGCTGTTGATACATACTGTGACCATTTGAGTATATTGAAATATATCTAGCTATGTTGAAAGACATGCATAATGTCAATTCATAAAAATACAAATTGTTTAGTCTCTAATAAAACTTGTACAATTTCCACTGCTATTTTCTGCTAAATGGGTGTAATTTGGGTACTGTTACGTTATAGGTTGACATGACATATGTACCTGCATCTTTTTTCTTTGTTTGATAGGAATATAAGGTACATATTCTTCGTCTGAGGAGGAGTCTTCTTTCTCTCCAGATCTCTGCAATTATAAAAATATGGGTATTTTACAAAACATATCAACATGAACAGGGAGCTTGAGTGAACAACAATTAAAGATGACAATAACCTGATTAACAATGATGGGGTTCTTTTAAAAAAAAATCTTACAGCAAAAATTGATCGCAACTTTTACTGAAATTTTCATGACTTAAGAGTATTTGTTCTAGTAAGTTTTTTGTAAAATTAATATTGATCACTGTCATACAACATGTACATGTATTGGAAATGAATAGAGATATTTCAGAGTGAATCAATTGATTGATCGATTAATAGATTGTTGGTGTTTAAAGCCACTTTCTTTTTTTTACGCTGTTGGCTTTATTATGGCGTGTAGTGTTAAGTGGTTGGGGAAGACAGAATGTCCAGAGAGAACCATGACCTTTGGCAGGGATCCTTGCAACCTTAGTCATCACAGACAATCGACTGCATCATTACAATTAAGAGTGATTTATACATTTTGTACCTCAAACACAAAAATCTTTTGTTTTAATTTGGCCTTAATTGTGCAAAAGGTAGATAATTCTATCTTGATTAAAAGCATTGAAAGTACTGATGGAACTTGTTTTTATTATCAAAATAGCTCAAAATATATTAACATATCTTTATTATTCCAACAGTTCTTCAGTGCTACTTACGGCTCAGGGAGAAGTGACTACTCTTCTGGAAACTGAAAGGAAGCAGTGGTGAAAAGAGAAGTGTCTGTTCGCACTCAGCACTATAATGTTTAGATTTTTTACAATGATATTATCTTGCCATCTGTATCCTACATGTATTCATTTAATTCGTTTTACATGTTTTAGTATTGAACAAATTTAAGAATATTTCATTCCTAAAAATTCCATTACAGATGTCTCAGTTTCTGTGTTAGATTGCAATTTATGTATAAATAACATAGCTGAGAGGGTGACAGATTGTTACCCAGAGAAAATATTGTCAACCGAGGCGAAGCCAAGGTTGACAATGTTTATTCGAGGGGTAACAATCTTGAACTTGAACTGCTGTCTTTTACGCCTACAGAACTATTCCGTACACCCAAAGCAGGTAAGAATTGAATAGAAGACATATTAGCCTTACAAAATCCGTTAAAATTTTCAAAATATCTCATTTAAAATAGACCTTATTGTTGTTTTGGAATCTGCGACACCCGACCCAAGAATTATCTATACTTGACGAGAGAATTTGTGACACTTGAACTATTGACGTCATACAACATCACTTTTCCTTTGTGGCGTCAGACATTTTCTATTGTGACGTCAAAATTGTACAGGAACATTTGCGAAATCCAGTATTGGCAGACAAATAATAAGGTGTATGTTACAACTACCAGGTACACAGGTTTGTCTATACTCAGTATAAATTTTGGTGTGTAAAACCGTCTATATTTTTCAATTTCTTCTGATGAACCTTATCATGTCTTATTTCCGTTGTTTCTCTACTAAAACTTAAGAGTTACAACGAACTTTCACAAACATAGATGAGATTCGACAAATTTATACCTTTCTCGATTTACTTGACATTCTAACTGGAATGGAGATATAGATCACAAGTGTTTTTTAAGCTATCGTTAATAAGTCATCGCCTTGATCCTGCCGATGGTTGATATTTCCTAAATTTACATGATTTTACGTTTTTAAAACGTGAAAATTTGTACCGGAAGTTTTTGATGCAACTATAAAATTTTAACCCTTATCGGTTAGACTAATTCCGGATTTTTCATTTTTGTCGAGCCTTCGACTTTTGTCGAAAAAGCGAGACATAGCGATCCTACATTCCGTCGGCGTCGGCGTCGTCGTCGTCGTCGGCGGCGGCGGCGTCCACAAATATTCACTCTGTGGTTAAAGTTTTTGAAATTTTAATAACTTTCTTAAACTATCCTGGATTTCTACCAAACTTGGACAGAAGCTTGTTTATGATCATAAGATTATATTCAAAGTAAATTTTGTGAAAAAAAAAATTCCATTTTTTCCAAATTTTACTTATAAATGGACTTAGTTTTTCTGCCAGTTAACATTACATTCACTCTGTGGTTAAAGTTTTTAAAATTTTAACAACTTTCTTAAACTATCCTGGATTTCTACCAAACTTGGAAAGAAGCTTGTTTATGGTCATAAGATAGTATCCAGAAGTAAATTTTGTAAAAAAAAAATTCCATTTTTTCCGTATTTTACTTATAAATGGACTTAGTTTTTCTGCCAGTTAACATTACATTCACTCTGTGGTTAAAGTTTTTAAAATTTTAACAACTTTCTTAAACTATCCTGGATTTGTACCACACTTGGACAGAAGCTTGTTTATGATCAAAAGCTAGTATCTAGAAGGAAATTTTGATAAAATTTTGTTCCATTTTTTCCGTATTTTACTTATAAATGGACTTAGTTTTTCTTCCAGTCAACATTACATACATTCTGCAGTTTAAGTTTTTAAAACATTTATTAGATTCATAAATTATCCTGGATTTTTACCAAACTTGGACAGAAGCTACTTACAATCAAAAGATATAAAGAGGAATATTTTTATTAATTTTTTTTTCTCATTTTTGTTCAGAGCCTGCGATTAACAGCAAAAGTAGGCGAGACACTGGGTTCCGCGGAACCCTTACGAATTTTTATTTTTTTAAGGGAAGTGGGGCGGGGGGGGGGGGATCTTCTTCTTCCATATACTACCCACATTCAACATGATGAATATTCTGGCAAGTTTTGGATATATATTTTAATCAAAATTATTGGTATTTGTATGTGCAAGATTGATGACTCAGTCAAACTTATTTATTCAAATTCTCAAGCAGGAGTTATTTTACTGTAAAGAAAATCTGAAAATTTTGTTTGATAGTATCAGATAGATATTATATCATGTCTGATTGTATGACTGTGTGACAAAAGATCACAAAACAAAACTTGTGCATTGGGCAACGACTAGTATCTGTGTTTTGGGGAGATATTATTTAAAAAAAAAAATAAAATCAAACAATTTATTTGAGAATAAAAAACATGACCCCACTGAAAATGAAGGGTGCCAGTTTGATGAACAAACCAAATCAATGGTACATCAGAATGGACTTGTGATAGCATATAATGATAAGTGCCATTTTTTTTTTTAATGTACAATTTATTCACGCATTTATCAAGTAACCTCAATCAGAACGGAATGGTTGTATGGTCATACATAAAAAAAAAATATCAAAAGGATTTGATTAAGAAGGGCCTACTGCATTACTAAAGTTGCTGGGCAATGTAGATTGTATAAAATATTTTAGAGATTTCTGAAAGAACTTCGAAAACGAAATTAATTTAACGATCTTAAACCATTAAAAAGGTTTTACATTGGCTGGTGAAAGAATTAAACATTTGGTCACCACATATCTTTTGTGATGGACATACAGCCAACAATGTGCTCCACAGAGAGTCAAATAGTAAATAATCATGTCACTTCCACAGCTCAGCTTAAGGCCCTTTCTAACATTTGAAGGTTCCCACTATGCATTGATTACCTAAACTACACACAAAAAAACGTAAAATATCGCTTCATCTCGGCCTCTAGAAAGTAGTCTACTACTAATCTTTCGGTGCTTTTAACGAGTTCCTTAACTTCTTCCAAAGAACTGGTCCTTTTGGTTCGGTTGACATTTTTGACTTTTCCACTCCTTATACTACACTTCCACACAATCTTGTCAAACAAAAGTTTTACTATTTAATCAAATGGTCGTTTGATAAATCTGATTGCAGATTTATTTACTGCAACTCATATAAAGCCTTTTTCTCTAATGGGAAAGGTAAATATACTAGATATACTTACTGGAGATGTGATGACATGATTAAAGCTGTAAGTTTCCTCCTCGACAACATTCATGTACGTTTCGGCAATAAAGTCTATCGACAGGTTGTATTTATTCCTATGGGACAAAAGGGAAGAATGTTCTTTCCCAATTGTTAATTTTCCTTTTTTTGGAAGGTGATGGTCCTTTGGCACCGTCTTCGTCTTACGGTGTTTATATATCACAACTCGTTCGCTCTGCAATATAAAAGATTACCAATACAACACTGTAATTAGAATATTGTTTTTTTTTGTCGAGCCTTCGACTTTTGTCGAAAAAGCGAGACATGGCGATCCTACATTCCGTCGGCGTCGTCGGCGTCGTTGTCGGCGGCGGCGTCCACAAATATTCACTCTGTGGTTAAAGTTTTTGAAATTTTAATAACTTTCTTAAACTATCCTGGATTTCTACCAAACTTGGACAGAGGCTTGTTTATGATCATAAGATAGTATCCAGAATTAAATTTTGTAAAAAAAAAAATCCAGTTTTTCCGTATTTTACTTATAAATGGACTTAGTTTTTCTGCCAGGAAACATTACATTCACTCTGTGGTTAAAGTTTTTAAAATTTAAATAACTTTCTTAAACTATCCTGGATTTCTACCAAACTTGGACAGAAGCTTGTTTATGATCATAAGATAGTATCAAGAAGTAAATTTTGTAAAAAAACAAAATTCCATTTTTTCCGTATTTAACTTATAAATGGACTTAGTTTTTCTGCCAGTTAACATTACAATTTCACTCTGTGGTTAAAGTTTTTAAAATTTTAATAACTTTCTTAAACTATCCTGGATTTGTACCAAACTTGGTCAGAAGCTTGTTTATGATCAAAAGCTAGTATCTTGAAGGAAATTTAAAAAAATTTTGTACCTGTTTATCCATATTTTACTTATAAATGGACTTAGTTTTTCTTCCAGTTACCATTACATACAGTCTGCAGTTAAAGATTTAAAACATTTATTAGATTCATAAACTATCCTGGATTTTTACCAAATTGGGACAGAAGCTTCTTACAATCAAAAGATTGTATCGAAAGTTATATTGTTATTAATTTTTTTCCTCATTTTTGTTGAGCCAGTGATTAACAGCAAAAGTAGGCGAGACACTTGGTTCCGCGGAACCCTTACGAATTTTTTATTGGTATAAATATTGATTTTGTTATCAGTAAATTAAAACTATCCTAAATATTATTGCTATGAATATATGTACATTCACGATACTAAAATATGTCGATACCTATATTTTTGCATTGCCCAAGGTCGTGTTTTTCTCCGACTGTTAATGACGTCTTTACATTAAATCCATTGGATGTTGGATGTGTTTTGATTGATGTTTTAGTTTTAGATACATGATTTCTTTATTAGTTGTTATTGTCTTTGAACTAGCTGGACTAGTAACTGCGAGTACTCTCATATTTTATTTAGTGTCTTTTTTGTTGTGGGATTTATAGATACCCTAACTGCCAATGTCCAGTCTGTGTTTTCTTTAGATGTTTTCTGCTTTGTATCGATCTGATGATTTAAGCCCTTTTCAACTGATTTTTATAGTTTGGTCTTATGTTGTGCCGTAACACCACTGTCCCGGCTTAAGGGGGAGGCCGTTTGGCTCCAGCAAACTAGTTTAACCCAGCCACATTCTATATGTACCTGTCCCAAAGTCAGGAGCCTGTAGTTCAGTGGTTGTCGTTGTTTCGTGTCTGTCAAATTTGTTTTCATAAATTGTTTTGTTATAATATAGGCCGATAGTTTCCTCAATTGACCAGCTGTTTTATATTTTTTCATGTCGGGGCCTTTTATAGCCGACTATACGGTATGGGTTTTTCTCATTGTTGGTTTTTCTCATTGTACGGTTGCCTATAATTGCTTACATCCACTTCGATGGAACATTGGGGAATAGTTGTCTCATTGGCAATCATACCACATCTCCTTAATTTCATATGCTGACTTTTTAACGAAGGCCCCATCCATATCGCTTTATCTTGTAATTCTTCAAAAAAAATAAAAATAAAAATAGTTGACTGACTTTCTAAATGTATTGCAGTATTGAAATATGTAATTCATCAATTATTCAAGGTATTCAAAAAGTATTTTATTTGATATTTTGATAAGCTGCTTCACATCCAGCGGCAGATATTAAAGTCAAATCCGGATTGATCATAATAAGGTGCGGGAAAATTGCTGTAGGCAAATTGACATTCAAATAAATAGATCATTGTTTAACAAAACTATGATCTGTGTATAAAACGTCTGAATTACTTTTAGCATTATTGGTTATTTGATGGCGACCAGTTTTAATATGTAGTTTGAGAAAGCCGGAGTGCCAGTAGAGAATCACGACCTTTGACAGAAAACTGTGAACCTCAAATGTGTGAACGTAAAAATAAATGTCTTCACTGGGAACTACAGAACTGAAACCTGACGACTTAAGGTTAGTATGAACGTTACTCTGTAGCAATTTGTGTCAGTTTTGCACATAGAATCTTTACAGACACTGTAAGTGATGCAAAGTTCTGCGTGTCAAAGACATGTCTACTTAGTTAGTGAATTCTGCATTTAGATAGTGACTGTGCGATTCAGTCTCAGAAATTTGGCAATTAATCCTTGGACATAGAAAACACCTTTTTCTATTAAAATAGATATTCTATATTATAAGGTGTCGACGTTAAGTTAGCATTGGAACTTGATTAACAAATGGTTGACATATTTTCTAACTATTTCTGGAATTAAATTAATCAATGATTCAAGGTATTCAACATTTTTTTTTTATTAAGCTTTTTCATGTTCAGGGGCAGATATTACAGTCATATCCGGATTTATCATTAAACGATGTTGTAAAAATTGCTATAGTCAAATTAAAAAAAAATGTTGGTCTTTAATGCCACTTTAAGCATTATTGGCTATTAAATGGCGACCAGTTTTTATTAACTACTTAGTTAGTGAATGCTGCATTCAAATAGTGACTGTGTGATTCATTCTTAGAAATTTGGCAATCCTTGGACATAGAAAACAACTTTTTCTATTCAAAATATATATTCTATTTTATAAGGTGTCGACGTCAATTTAATGTTGGAACCTGCTTAATATTTGAAAAGTTTTATATTATGAAAGACTTAAACATTAATCAATGCTTCAAGGTATTCAACATTTTCATATGATTAAGCTTTTTCATGTCCAGCGGTGGATATTACAGTCATGTCTGGATTCATCATAAAACGATGCGGGAATAAAATGCTCCGCTGGGCGCAGCTTGATACGACCGCAGAGGTCAAACCCTGAACAGTTGGGGCAACATTCAAGCTGGATACAGCACTGAATTTGGATTGTAATTAAATATTAAACACAGCATAGGTTTCTGACACGGAATGAATGTGGTCTAAGAACTTAAAAATTTTTAATTTACCTATTCAAACCATACCATTATAATTTGCTTTTATATATAAATCAGAAATAACCAATTTAAAATGGAAAATTTTAAAGAAAAAAAAGGAAAAAAAAATCCCCCCCCTCCCCCCCCAGAATTGTTGAACCCCCTTATGATTCATCATTTCCAAACTCAATCCCAGCCTTCCCTTTGTGATATGGAACCTTGTAGTACAATTTCATAAAGATCCATACACTAGCACACAAGTTATTGTCATGAAACTAGAAAAATTCTTGTTTTTTGCCCCTTTTTGGCCCCAAATTCCTAAAATTTGGAGGCAATTACCCCCAAAATCAATCCCAGCATTCCCTTTGTGGTACAATGTCAGAGAGATCCATACACTTACACACAAGTTATGTCTGGAAGTTACAAAAATGCTTATTTTTGGCCCCTAATACCTTAACTGTGGGTACCATAACCCCCAAAATCAATCCCCACCTTTCTTTTGTGGTATTGAACCTTATGGTAAAATTTCATTGAGATCCATTCACTTAAACTAAAGTTAGAGTGCGAAAACCAATGTGTCTTCGGACAACGACGACGACGCCAACGTCATACCAATATACGACCACAAATTTTTTTTTGCGGTCGTATAAAAATTGCTATAGACAAATTAAAATTCAAATAAATAGATTGTTGTTTAACAAAACTATGATCTGTGTGTGAAACATCTGAAATAAACAAGGATTTATTTATTCATTGTAATCTTTAGCACCACTTTTAGCATTATTGGCTATTTCATGGCGGCCAGTTTTTATTGGTGGAGAAAGCTGGAGTTTGGGGAGAGACCTGCTGACCTTTGCCAGGAAAACTCTCAATCCTAATCAATCATTATTTAATATTTATTAATATAGGTAGAAATAAAGGTAAAACAAATTTCTTTGAAATCATTTTCTCCTCTTCACCATATCTAGCAATAAACAAAGAGATATGTCACACATTTTTGTAATTTTGATAGTCTAATGACTCTAATGCAAATGATGAATCTAAATGGTAATATTTAAACTTGTTAACTAAGTATCAGTCAATGTACCGTGATGAGGGGGTGGGGCATATAATCTCCATGGAATGAGACTTGGAAATGCTTATACAACTGTGTACCAAATATCATTGACTTAATATTAGTGCTTCATCTTAAACTGATATTATCACAAACTTTCACAAGTAAACTAAGTCAAAAGTTGCAAAGTCAATAGACCATGACTGAAGGGGCAGGACAAAATAATCTCCATGGAAATGAGATGCACCAATGCTAATACAACTGTAAACCAAATATCATTGACCTACCACTAGTGGTTCCACATAAACTGACCATATCACACAAAACTAATACATTGTTGACACAGAGACCAGAAACAGCACACCTTAGTCTTTCAACTATGTCAGGGGTCTTGGTGGCCAAGTGGTCTAAGTAGTCAAACTACTGTATCACTAGCCAGTCAACACTGAGGTTGTGAGTTCGAATCCCACACAGGGCAGGTGCACCTGACTCCAATCTCAATTGACTAGAATTGTCAGTTTTCCTACTGAAGGTTGGTGGTTTTCTCTGGCTTCCTCCACTAATAAAAACTAACCGCCACGAAATAGCACAACAGTGTTGAAAGTGGCGTTAAACACCAATCAATCAATCAACTATGTCCAGGGGAGACAAAAAACTTTTCAAATTTTAAATTCAAAAATAAGACTACAAAATTACTTTGGTAAAGTTTTTTTTATTATGTTTTTGTATTGTTAGATGTTAACATAATTTTGGTGTAAAAAAAGAATTGAAACATAAAGCACTGGTCCTCAAAAATCATATCAAATGTCAAAAAAACATGTGCAGCAACATTTACCATACAATACGAACAAATAATGGTTCAGTCTCAAATATTGGCAAATTTTCATCTTTTACCTGCAGAATTTGATAATTTTCCTAACTGCAAAATTAATTAATAATAATAGAAAAAATAATTTACTTTAAGCAATCTAGTTCATATCTATGCTTAGTCTAATAATTGAAAATAATAAATACAATTTTCTTCAGAAGCACTTGTGAATCACAGTGTTTTACAACAATCATAACCAAGCATTCCATTTAAGCACAAACTTCAAAATATATTCAGTTCATATTTTATTGCTTTAAAAAAAAAAATCACCATTGTGTTTTTCTCATACAAATGCACTCTTGTGTTTAATTCAATTATTTTTGAAAACAATGGAACACAAAAATAGTTTAAAGATTATGTGTATATAATATATATGCTTTATTACTTTTAAATGGCTTTCATTGGTGGGTTTGCCTATCAAGTATGTATCATCAAATATATTTTTCAAATTGTCTTCATGAGATCGAAATTGCCATGATGTTTGTCAATACTGTTATAAATCATGTTATCAGCACAAGCAACACAAAAACTGAGATGAAAAACTAAAATAAATGAATAAATAGATCCATTCAAAATTTAAATCATTTCTTCAAAGAAAACCTTTATCGCCCTGAGCAGATATATGTCAAAAACATTTGGCTAATCACATAATGGCAAGGACGCTATAAAGGTGCAAAATATATTCTACAAACACGTTACTAAGTGTGAGAAGATGTACCTAAATGCTGACATTAAACAATATCTTTATTGCACCTCATCTTGCAGCAAAGATGATATATTGCTACCATAATTATATATGAACAATTTGCCATTTCAGAATATAAGAAATTATGGTAACATTTGTTACATGCATAAAACTCATAACGTTTTAATTGAAAACAGTTCCTAATTCTATTTTTGTTGGTAAAAAATCCCAAAATGTATATTAAGCACTTCTTTTGGTTAAAAAGTCCAAAAACAATGGCCATAAGCCAATAAATTCAAGTTATACCATTTGAATGTATAATATATGAAACTGTTCATAATATTCTGAATTGGCAAATTAAATGCCAGTAAGACATTTTAAAATACATGCACTTATGAATAAACTTTTGATCATGTTAAAATTTACACATTTATATAAGAAAAGCAAACATTTATCTTAGAAGGGTAACATGTACAGATCTATTATATATCATGAAATTGAACACTAGATATTATTCTGACAAAGCATTTAAAAAGCAAATGCTATTCTTTTTAAATGTAAACAAACAAAATAATTTTTAATTCTACCACAGCTGTACTTTGTACAATCTTCAAAATAAACATAAATCTTAAAAATTTGAGATTCCAAAGCACAAAAATTTTAAAAGAAAAAAAAAACTGAAGACACCATGGAGCATTTGTTATGGAGTAAACACAAAAGATATATGGTTAGCTGTAATTAAAATGAAAACCTTGATCCCTATGCTATTTAACAAGTCTATACACATACAGTATAAAAATAGGGTTGGTTTGACAATAAATAAATATCACAATATATCTGCTTAAACATTCGTCTTCTGACTTCCAAATCTGAAAAAAAGAACTCCCTAGAAAGACAGAATCCCACCATTTTTAATAGATGACCACGCTTCTGCTAAAATTCCCACAAGTAAAAAAAAAAATTTCACAATTGTTTTTTATTCACTTTTGAGGTGCATATGCAAGGTGTACTTTTTTTTACACGGCAATGGAATGTTAACAATTTTAAAAGTGAACACAATTAAAAACAGAGTTTCATATATGACAACAAATCCAATTCATTCAGACCAAAAATCTGTTAAATACCATTAATTCTTAATAGCTAATATTTACACTGAAAAGACTGATGCACAAGTTATGCTGTAATTACAAATCATACTCATTTGATTTGTGTTGGAAAAAATATGTCAGTGTTTTTGTTTGGTATATATACATCCCAGTTCTTCTTCCCTAGAAAAAAATGCTGAAATCTGATCCAAGATTTCTTGTGTTAATTTGATAATTGAAAGTAAATATGTAATACTTTCTCACAAAAAGGAAGGAGCTATATACATATTTCATTTCTTTTCAGCCAAACAGACAGCAAAAAATACAAGCTACAACAATCAGTCATAGATTTTAATATCTTACAAGAAAAGACTCATTTAACTGACATATTGAATCCTGCCAGTATTTTCAAAATGACCATATTTTACATTTCTGATGTGGAAGTCAGGTAGCTTCACATTTATACAATATAGAAACAATATAAACAACCAGATTCAACACAAGTCTCAAACAATTACAAATAAAACTTTCTAGTCCCTTGGTGAGCATGTCATAACCCTTGCATATTAAATTAAGAACAAGCAGTCATATATCAATGAGACTCTGTTGACTTGACCAGTATTTATCTTCACCATAAGCCTGTTGATTTTCCACCTGGGGGGTTTATAACTCTTGAGGAATTTCTCTGTGGTGCATCATCCTGAAATATGTTACATAGTATAATGAGAATTATGAAGTGTTTATGAACTTTTAATAGGTACATAACATAACATATACATTCTTCAAGTTCAATTGAATTGTTGCTGGTTTTTCTCATTTGAATTGTTTCCCTATTTGTCATGTCTTGGCCTTTTATAGCAAACTGAATCAGGCCGTTAATTTTCTCATTTGAACTGTTTTACATTTGTTATTTTGGGGCTTTTAATAGCGTGCTATGAGGTATGGGTTTTGCTCATTGTTGAAGACCGTTCTTTGACCTATAGTTTCTAGCCATCTACATAATTTGGTCTCTGGTGGAGAGTTGTCTCATTGGCATTCATACCACATCTTCTTATTTTTATATACATTATCATCTTGCTTATTGTTTAAGTCCATATGATGATCTATAGTTACTTAAATCCACATCATTATCAGACTAGAGGCTAGTTGTTTCATTGGCAATCATACCTCATCTCTTTATTTCTATATGATCATTTATAAAGAAAATTTTAACAAATGGATGGTTTAGTAGTGATGAGAATTTCAGATTTATTTTCTGGCCTAAAATACCAAAGTTCATCTACATACTGAAATGGTGGCGTAAAGATATCTAAAACTTAGCCATAAATCAATTTTTTATCTTGTAACATTTGTGCAATCAAAAGCAAGATTTTAAGGTTTAACTATTTGCAAAAGCTTAACTACCTGCTCCCTTTTAATATCTTACCTTTGCACCGATAAGTTCTCCAGTTATTGGGTTATAAGTTCCTGAAATGAAAAATAAAAAATGTTTATTCTAACATGAATATTAAATATTTCTATGTCGAAAAAATGGGCAACACACCAAACTCTTTATAATTCAAATTTTTAATAATTCTAGACATTTATCAATATATTTAAACAATTCAAAACGTGTCTTGCCATTTAGATTTTTCAAACAAAAAAAAAGGTGTAATATTTTCAAATCAGTTCTTGAAGTATTAACTCATATCATTTATTTGAGGTTTAATATGCTGAGCTCACACTGTTTGTTTGCTGAAATATAAATATCATCTGTTTTCACTGATGTATGTTAAAACCTATATTGTATATTTCATTCACATTTTGGAATTAGCAACATTACTTACCTGTTGGCTGTTCCTTTAATGAAAAAATAAATATTTAATGGAAATGGAAAAACAACATTTGTATATAAGATGTATTCCAAATTCTTTATCTAATGTTTACAACCTACAAACTAAAATATATATATACATATATATATATATAATAATCACTTTATACAACAAATTTATTTGCAGTCATATTTGCAGTACAACCATGCTATAAACAGAATAAAGATTCGTCTTTGATGCTAACAACATTTCTTCATAAAGTTAATTATGTGGTTCATTTACCCTCAACTCAACTTGAAATGCGATAAAAACAATCCAAGTCTGAGATTTTCAAATCTTGAAGCCTTGTTTTCATTGTACAACTAGACAATAACTAACCATTCTATATCTCCAAAATCAGTGGATCAAGACCACATTACCATTAAAGACTATGCAATAACACAATTAAAAATATTCTGTTTATTTCTTAACAGAAAATATTTTGTTAACAAAACTGTAGATCAAATTTTCCCATCAAAATAAATTACGTACCTCATAATAAAATCAATCAATTGAATAGTTACCATACATGTTCCTAAATTTGTGCAAACTTCACTACGGTACAAGGTGTTCAGAAAATAAAAAATAAAATGCACATTTAAAGAGTTAACGAGTAACCATGACGAAATTTTTCATTTTTCATTTTCATTGTTTTACATCAACTTTTAAACTATAAAGTTGACTGGAAAAGTCCATGTACACTCAAGAAACAACTTTCTATTTGGTGAGATTATATAAATAGCTATAATAAAGCTCCTCTAAAATTATTTTATTGTTTCTTGGCTGAGCAAGATGTTTCTATACAGGAAATAAATATGGAAAACTGCATAAATTCAGCAAATTTCTTCGTTTATATGAAAACGGTGCATATTTTGATGGAATTGTGATGTCATGACATCAAAAATCATGTGTATTACATCAAAAATCATGTGTATTGATATTCGTGTTCTTTCTATTATATATTTCCAAACTTTATGAGAAAATTTATAATAGCTCTCATACACTTTATTTCCTTTGGTCCAAACTGGGGTCTAAATGCCCCTTCTTTACATAATTTCATCATAAAATAAGGAGAATGGGTTTCATGTTGAAGCATTGCAAATTAATCAGACATGTTAATTTCACTGACTTCTTTTCTTTCATATAATAACCAGTATAAATACATAACAACAGTGCAAGTGTTGAAGTAAATTGATCCAAGCATACTCGAGTTAGTGTGCAACATTTGAAAAATTGCGTAAATCTAATGTAAAAACTCAAATAACTTTGGAATAACAAACAAGAATTGATAAACTTTTTCTTTGCAGAAAAACTTGCCAGATAACTTTAGGCATATAAAAAATACCTTCAATTTTATGTTTAAATCCTGCAACTCGGGAATGACATTTACCTATAAAAAAATCAAAATCAAAAGGGAGATCTATTCCAAAAATTAAAATATTACATAAAAGCTTCATTTCATTTGATCAAAGCATTCTCTTGTTTTTGTTTAATGTGTGAACTGACATTATACCATAATAAGTCGAGTCAATAAAGGTCATATCATTATTATTTTTTTTTAATTTAAAAAGAGGTTGCTTTTCGAAAATTGCAATATAGAAAACTTAACTTTATATAGCAGGATATTTAAATATTTGTAAATTCTAAACTATTAAATACCTACAATGTATGACTCCAAAAATAAAAATTCAAAAGACTATTAAAATCAAAAAGTTGTATGTCTCTAGTCAGCATGATAAAAGAATTATGTAAAAATTTGTGCAGATCCAAGAGAGCTAACTCAGGTTACATTTATAATGAGATGTGCAAATTATATCACTAATCTTGATATTGTAAAAACCAAAAGGGAGCTTGATATATAAAACCAAACATTGTCTTATTGAATTTAAAAAAAGCAAACTTAAGACATCATGAGACATCTTCATAAACTGTCATTAAATTTTCAACATAAATAGAAGCCCTATTTATCTTAAACAATAAATCTGAGAGTTATTAACATAAAAGTAAGCTTGTATAATGAGTTGTATTCCAAGCCTTGTGTAAAAGTTCTGTAAATATTTCTTCATGTCTTGAGTAATGGCAAGAGGTGGTTGGATGGAAGGACAAACAATGGTACATGGTTATCATTGAAGGCCAAGGGTGTATTAATAAAAACTGAAAGATATTAAATACATCATATAACATATTTTCACACCATATATAATAAAAGTGGAACACTATAGATTATGTGTATTCCATTAATATCTTCATGCAGGGAATTTGTCTACAAGACAACATATCTCTGCCAGATTCCTTTGTTTACAACTATTTTGCGTATCTTTACACTACATATTAGTAATGAATATACACCTCATCATACATGCAACATAACTTAAAATCATTACATTTAAGATCAAGTAACAGTAAATGCTGTTATGCCAGATTTCTATAATAATTTTGCATATAACTTGGACATGTTGAACTCCAACTTCAGGTAAATATTGGTTATAATATTTAACTAACTGTTTATTAAACTTGCGAAAATATTATCGAATGGAAATCCATTAAAAAGGTAAACATTTGTATTAAATATATACTTTTAAGATCTATTTTTTCTACTTTTTATTGATTTTTTATTTATCTCTGAAATTAATTCAAATGCATACAAACATTCATAAAAATCTGAAATAACACCCAATTATGTATATATTGCCTCAAGTAAATACAGAGTTAATGCTACTATCTATTGCATGCTATTGAATATTTAATAACAGTACCAAAGTTGGTAAAACAACACACAAATCACAGCAAGATCATGCAAAGAAGTCACACACTTTATTTGGACAAGTCACAGCAAGATCATGCAAAGGAAGTCACACAATACTACATTTGTACAACTCAATACTGATTGGATGAAAGAGAGGTATGATAATGCCCTTGTTTTTGCTCGGATTTTGTTAATCAAATGTTATTAAACAAAATTTCAAAATACATCCTTCAGATATTCACAAAACATTGGGCAGTTAACTCATTGTGTTAATGTTTTTTAATTGTCTGAGGGCTTCAAACTTCACATTTCATGAAAAATTTAAAACTGTCAAAAAAGCTTCATTTAGAGATCTTATTATTTATATTAAGATATGTGCTAAAGCCTGACCAGAAATGATATTTTGCTACAAGATGTCGTATCTAAATATGTTAATGTGGGTAAAATATCTTTTTGGGTAAGACCTTGGCTAATAAATAATTTTATAAAAATCTAAAAAGTGTCAAATACATTCATTTTGTCATGAAAATGACCCTATAGTTATATTTAAAAAGGACTTTTCTGAACAGAAATATTAAAATTACACCACCCTGTCCATTTTTCAGTAGAATTGACATTATTTAAAAGAATTGAAGAACTTTGCTATTTTTTGTAATTTCAGAGGCTAAATAATGGCTCATACCATACCTCATCCTTGACATCCATTTGCTTGCAAGTATGTCATTGTTTACATACAGGTGAAATACTTCAGGTATAAATGAATTGTGGTTACTTAAAAAAGAGGTTACCTGCAATAGGTGTGCGAGGGACTGAAGATGTATGACAGCTACTTTATTGGGTTGTTCTCAATTTGTAGCCTCAATAACTCCTTTTATATGTGGACCAATTAGTAAATTAAGGCTTTTATGCAAGAGTGCAGAATTTAAGTTTTGACAATTGAAAATATTTTTTTTTTAAAAGAAGTTTTAAGTCAAGTTTTCCCAATCAATTATGGGATTTATAGGGCAAAAATATTATCAAAAGCTAATTGGTATATTAACTGGATTTTCTAGATTTCTCATGACCACACAAACAAGTCTTTTCTTGATAAAATTCTCCCGGATCCAAACTCTAGTAACTGCCAAATTTTTACTTGCCCTCTACCACATCCAATAAGAGGTACAATTAAAACAAAATTAAACAAAGTGAGGTCAGTTTTAAAATTAAAATAATGATAATAAGGTTAAGTGTGTTCTAAAATCAGAGCTCTACAAGAAATCCCATCCACAAGAAAAAAATATAATTTTAAGAGTGAATTTAAACCCATTACCACCATGCAAACCTGAAAGGTAATTAATTATTACTTTCTTTTTAAATCATCTAGCTGTTATTATTTAAGGTTCAATTTTTTGCTTGAATCAAAAAATAATCACATTTGAATCTATTGCCGTCTTTCCACATATTTGCATTGTTCTTTGAACAAAAGTATCCAAAATGACAATTTTTTTTTCAAAATTTTAAATCAATTGTAGAGCAGAGAAAATTTCTAACGTGATTCTAGCGTCAAACTACATAAAACAGAATATGGATTTGTCAAACAAACAAACAAACAAAAAGAAAAACAAAATCACACCTTCGTCTTTTGAATTACTCAATGTTCTTTTGCCAGGTTTAAGGGGTGTGGCTTGCTGATAACTGTTGTCATCTTCATATGTTTGGTTAGTGATGACATTAAAACTGGAGACTTGATTAACATTATTTTGTCCACGTCTTTTCGCTGTAGCTTGTTGGTCTTGTGGATCTTCTTGGTCAGTATAGGATTCATTTGTTATTGGGTTGTAGCTTGAAACTAAATCATAAACATTTACTAAGTCAGCAACAAGAAACTGTCAATCACAGAGTTATTATCAGTGCATGGAACCAAAGTAATGTGATTATTACATAAATAAAATTAGCCTCCAATGTAGATTTTGAATTATATTTCAACAACTATTTTTTTTTTAAACAACAATGAATCTGAAACAATTTGCCTAATTAACACTTAAGCAAATTCATTTCAGATCACTTTTTACAGGGATTACAAAAAAAAATACTACTATTGTTTACCACAATACTTCTTTTAATTCTTATAAATCCTCCATCAAATAGTTTGCATAAAACACCTGTCAATGGTCAGAACCAGTTAATTTAGAATTTTACTACACCTAATTTCAATCAAATTTAGGGAATTACACAAGTAATAGTGCATAATATATATTATGCAAAAATTTGATTCATACATTCCTTCAATAATCTTTTAAAAAACCAACTTTACTCTAAAATGTATTTATAACATGGTAAGACGTTAATGAACTAGAGGTTCTATATAGAGCCTGTGTTGCTCATCTGCATCTATATGCATCTTTAACAATGGCCACTCTTTAAAATTGAGGACAAGAGTATAATTCAGGACTGAAATCTCCTTCTGGCCATGAATGAGGTCAAGTTTGGCTAACTTTATACTGCCGGGCTTGACCTTTGTGTCACCATCAAGATTTATACCAGGCACCTTTAAAACTTTGTTAGAATGTTTCCCCCAACTGTAATTAGACTAATAAGAGGCTTTGATTGCTTGACAGACTTGTTATATTTTTTTATCCAATGTCACATTGGCAGATTTCTTCTTAGTTACCTCAATTACTTTTGATGGGGCTTTAGGTCAGTCTCTGTTTCAAAGCTAATCCAGCCAAAACAACAAGCAGGCTAGCTTTTTTTTATTATAATCTCCTTCCAAAGTACAAGGTAAATTATACATTGAAATGAATAAACTTGCTAAACATTGAAAAGCAAGTTGAGATGATGACCACCAAATTTTAAGTGGACATTGCATATTTTAAAGTTTTTTAATATCATTAGGTGACTTATCATTTAAAGGATTTTTCAGACTTCCAGTGTTCTCCCCAGGCCATTAAAGGACAGCGGGCCCGCGATGTATAATTTTTTACCGCGGTGGTATTGTTCTTACCGCGATGTATAATTTTTCTCCGTGGTGCTAAAATTTTCAGTTAAAAAATCGTAAATCGGTTAAGTGTTAAACGACTTATTAAATCTATTCCGTGTGGTATAAAATTCCAGGTGAAATTTGACCAGTTCAAACCAGTTCAACACGGGTTGTTTACACCATGTGATCGATTTACCTTTGAGGTTAACCTTTGTTGATTGGATTTAATTGATGTAATTAACATTTTTTACATGATTCTTTTGTTTTAATTTAGAGATCATAACTTTATGATCATAGATAACTATTTTAAGGCTTCACTCACCACCTGACAAGTAGGGAAATACTTTGTACACAAACCGTGTTGACCCGATAGTTGTACACACGACGGTACATATTTTTGTACATTTTAAAGTTAGCTCAATACTTATATTATAGTTTTATATGTCTCTGATTAAACCATGGCCAAAATTATCTTTAATTGTGACATAGTTATTGCATGATATTCCGGTTTCAAACTGTCAACAAGTAATTCAAAGGGGAAGGATCACATGACCCAGTTAGGGAGCTACCATTTGATTTTTATGGGGGGGGGGGGGGGGGGGGGGGGGGCTAGGATGAAAAATTTTGTCCTGCTTTTTTTAAAGTTGTAATCTCTGTCCTGCCTTTTTATTTTTTACTCTATTCGGTCCTTTTATTTACTCAAAACTCCTGTCCTGCCTATTTTTTTCAAATTTCATCCTAGCCCCCCCCCAAAAAAATCAAATGGTAGCTCCCTTAGTTCATGTAGAATATTCATGATTATTTACAATTAACTGCAATCTATTCTATTTTATAAATAAAATGCATGACTGTACCTTCAAACTGGATATCTATATCCATATGATCATTAATGAATAACAGAAGTGATCTTGCTATTTTAATCCATAAGAACATGTTAAATCTATTTATATCTACTTCCTGTCATTTAGGCGGGAAAATAGGGAGACTTTGTTGTTGACATTGAATATGTTACTTATAGATCTACATGTATATATAGTCATAAGATAAATTTATAGATTTAGGAATTCTTTTTAAATGGATCATGACAAATAAAGATTTAGATTTCAGTGCAGTATTAAGTCTGTATCTATGTTTGATTATCACCAAAGACAAGAAAAGTTAATATTTACATGTACATGAAATCTATGGCAAAATGTTTTAAAATTATGAAAAATTTCTTTTTATTAAAATTTAAGATAGAAACTGGTTCAAATTAAAACACAATTTTGTTCTTGTTAATTTTATATCTCCTTATGACAGGAATCCTTTCACATACAACAACTTTCTTTCTAGAAACTAGAAAGTTTTTTTAAATTGAACATTTTTGTTCTCTTTTGAATCTGGGAACAGTATATCTAACAATATAAATGTTCCTGTTTGAATGATATTTTATTTTTATTGATCATGGATAAAAGATTTAATTACTTTAAATTTAGATGAATATTATGTAATGAATCATTTTTTATTTATTTTTAAAAAATATTAAACAGAATACAAACTGTTTATTGATCTTTTTAACCAATAATATTCTGACATAACACAGTACCACAGTATTAAAACAAAACAAGAGACATAAAAACTGCAGTAACTAGAAATATAGCGACGCCACACGACACAACTGATTGTATGAATCATTTCACCAAGCTGTTCACACGCGTTACCCTGGTGCTATCCAAAAATCCTGGGGAGAACACTGGACTTCAGTTCAATGGTTGTAAAATTAAAGAACCTTAGTGAGCGCACTCACATACCCCATGTCCCCACATTGTCATTGGAGAAATAAAATAAGTGTAAGAAAAAAAAATTGAATCATAATTTCCTGTCAATATGCACATCTACATAGTATGTCCTTATTATCTACACAGTTTCATGAAATTCTGTTGTGTAGTTTGAGAGGAGTTGCGATGACAAAAGGTTGCAGTAGTATATTGGGCAAATAAGTTCAAAGGGGCGTAACTCCTGGAAAAAAAATTGAATCGTAATTTCCTGTCGATACGCACATCTACGTAGTATGTCCTTATTATCTGAAAAGGTTTCATGAAATTCTGTTGTGTGGTTTGAGAGGGGTTGCGATGACAAAAGGTTGCAGTAGTATATTGGGCAAATAAGTTCAAAGGGGCGTAACTCCTGGAAAAAAAATTGAATCGTAATTTCCTGTCGATATGCACATCTACATAGTATGTCCTTATTATCTACACAGTTTCATGAAATTCTGTTGTATGGTTTGAGAGTAGTTGCGATGACAAAAGGTTGCAGTAGTATATTGGGCAAATAAGTTCAAAGGGGCGCAACTCCTGGAAAAAAAATTGAATCGTAATTTCCTGTCGATATGCACATCTACATAGTATGTCCTTATTATCTGAAAAGGTTTCATGAAATTCTGTTGTGTGGTTTGAGAGGAGTTGCAATGACAAACTGTTGCAGTATTACATTAAAGTAAATAAGTTCAAAGGGGCGTAACTCCTAGAAAAAGAATTGAATCGTAATTTCCTGTCGATATGCACAACTACATAGTATGTCCTTATTATCTAAAAAGGTTTCGTGAAATTCTGTTGTGTGCTTTGAGAGGAGTTGCGATGACAAGAAACAGGACTGACGGACGGACAGACGGACTGACGGGTCAAAAACATTATACCCTCCGCAACTCGTTGCGTGGGGTATAATTAAAGATTTGAAGAATCCTATAACTATAAACCAACTTTATAATTTCAAGGATACTTTTTTTGTGGTTCTCCCTTTCCATTGGACTCGTGTCAACAAATTGCTGGCAAAAAAAAGATGGTTTTGTCACCATATCCTAAACTTTTAGTCCCCTAATGGCCCTCTACAAGCTTGTCATAAATAAATACCTTGCTGAATATTCCTTCTCTGAGGGGTCATCTGAGCCGCATATACAGATCTATCATAAGCAGGAAATTCTTCACCTGTAGCAAGTTAATGAAGAGCATGCTTAACATATACATTTACATCAGAAACCATTCATTGATTTTCTACCAAGTGGCCAATTCATTTTACTAATAGATTGTAACAAAAAATTTTCAAAATATTGTTAACTGTTTGAACTAAAATTGTTCCAGTGTAACTGCTTGACTAATGAGGTAGCAGCCAATATTTCATCTTAAATAGATAATTTGAAATCTACAGCTATCAATAAAAATAAAAAGGTTTTTTTTCCGAACAATTGAAAAAGAATTGACCATTTTCAACAATAGGTTAATAATTGAATGGCTTCTGCAGTAATACCGTACCACCCATGCTGCATTTCAGAAGGCTAATTTAGTAATTAATATGATTGCGACTGAAAACTATGCTACTACATGTAGCCATGACATTATTTTCTATTAAACATGCATTAACCCATCATGCTTGCATGCTGTTAGAATTGTTAAAATTTAACCTAAAGAAACAATTCTTAAAAGGCAGACAATGACAGCAATCATTTTCAAGCAAAATTTGCACAATCTACAATGATTATATTTATCAGAATTTAGTGCATAAAAGAATGCTTTGCTTTGAATCAGTATTTGATTGTACTGTCAGGCAGGCACTGACACATTGTACAAGTTAGTCAAATTAGCTAGTATCAAATATGTTACCTTCATTCAATCTAATAAATAAATTTAAGTCTAATAGGTGTGAATGCTCAACATGCCAGAATATTAACATATATCAATGTATACCATTACTTCATGATGTTCATAGCCTCTTTGAAAACAAAAACCCTGTCCCTCATTGGTTAATTTACATTATTGGTGTCTCACTCTGTAACCAATCACCTAGTGTTTGTGTTACATAAATTACCACAGGTTTCAGGTTTATTTCAAATACCTCTATTCAAAAGAATACGATAATCTTTTTTAAATTGTAATTAATGTAAATAACAAATTTATTTAATCAACTGTTATCACAGAGATATGTTTCACCTTTTTGTAATTTTGATAATGCGAATGTTGAAATTAAAATAGCAATACTTTAACATTAAGTATTCAATTTGCAAATATTCAAAGTCGATGAACCATGACTGAAGGTACATGGTAAAACAATCTCCATGGAAATGAGATGTGCCAATACTAATACAACTGCATACCAAATACCATTGACTTCTTATAAGTCGTTCCCTTTAAACAAACCTAAACACAAACATTAACTTGTAAAACTATGTAAAAGTTTCAAAGTCAATGAACCATGATAAGGGGGTGGGGCTATATAATCTCCATGGAAATGACACTTGCAAATGCCAATAAATTTGCATACCAAATATCATTGACTTAACATTAGCAGTTCATCTTAAACTGACCTAATCACAAACTAATACATGTAAACTAAGCAAAATTTTCAAAGTCAATAGACCATGACTAAGGGGGCAGAGCCAAATAATCTCCATGGAAATGAGATATGCCAATGCTTATACGACTGCATACCAAATATTATTGACCTACCACTAGTGGTTCCCACTTAACTGACCTAATCAAAAACTAATACATGTAAACTAAGCAAAAGTTTCAAAGTCAATAGACCATGACTGAGGGGCAGGGCCAAATAATCTCCTTGGAAATGAGATGTGCCAATGCTGTCAAGGCGACAAAAACTAAACAGTGAGAGGAATATAATCATGATAATGGTAAGGACACCAATTTCAATAATGTCCTCAAAAAGTGCTTTCAATGATTCTTTTATGAGTGATGTTTTATCTGAAGTACTCCTGAAAGTTTCTCCCTTGAATTTTCTTGTCTTTTGATCTTTGTGTTCTTTGAATGCATAGGATACCCAAGAAATTATCTTTAGCTACATCTACCAAAGTTAAATATTTACAATTTATCAAAAGAAAAATTTAGAATCTCAATGAATTGTGAATGTCATGGAAAAGAAAAGCAAGCCCTGCATGCTCGATATTTAAATTCTTTGATACATAATCATTCTGGGGCTGAATTAAAAACAACTGAGTGATACTGATACCATATTGTGGAAGAATTATTGCAACCCATAAGTAGCCCCAATGAATTCTCAAATCTGCTATCCCAAAAAATTTAAAAACCATCATACAATTTAATTCACACAGATTCTTACTTTTAGTCTTTGTTTCATGGTGTTTATTAGTGTAGTTGTACTCTGCAATGAGAACCAAAATGTTAGTACAAAAATGATAGAATAAATCTGAGATACATTTACAATTCACACTTAGTTGATATGCATCACAAATTTCAATCTCAAAATAATGAAGAAACAACAGCATGTTACATATGGTACACTCCCAAACCATCTTTATATCCTTTTTATTCTAATAAATCCTGAAAAAATGTTTTCTAGACATAGATCATGCAATGTTGGAAAAAAAGTTTGGTCTGATCATTAGTGGTAACTCGACATGGCAGTCTTTGAACTTGGCATTTGTAGACATACTTGTTCAGTAGTATGCTGTACAACGGCAATATTGAGACCTTTATTTTTTTCTATAATTTTTATGCAATTCATTGTTAGAAGATATTTTGTTTATATAGGTTAATGATTCTTTATTGATTTTTGGGGGTTTGTTATTAGTAATTTATTTAATATCAAATGAAATGCATATCTTCAACTGATTAATATCTTTTTCCCCAAACCAAAAGAACTAAATTCCACAAATGAATGTACTTTCATACAATAATAAATATGCCAGTTTTTACTGTCTGGTCTTTAAAAAATAAATAACAAGGACTGCAGCAATCTGCTCACTTGAAAGTTTTATTGCAGATTCACCATTGTCAGTATGTCAGCCTTCTTTCAAGATGGAATTTTTTTTTTCCCCAATTCAGACATGGTTTCGTGGGTTTTCAATGTATACTTTATCCTAGACAACGCTTATGAATTAAAGCCCTGCTCGAGCTTTGATTCCTAATTTCATTTACATATGTGGTTCTAACACTCAGATTTATTCAATAACAGTTGTGAAATAAAGATTATTTAAAAATAAATTTTTAAAAAAAAAGTGCATTAAACATAATACTAGTTAAAACATGTTATGTTTTTCATGCAAAACTTTTTTCATGCAAATGGATAAAATGATTATTTTGAGTCCGCTCCATATAACACAATAATCTTGCTAATCATTGTCATAGAAAAACATGACGAAGCAGGCTTTTATCCAAGAACCAGGGGGCAGGACTCATCTGGTGAAATTTGAAATGTGAGCAGCAAACATCTTTAGTCATGTTAGTCTACAATGACATATGAAATCAATAAAAATCTTTTGAATGGACATGACATTTAATCCCTTTAAAGAACATATATATTCAAGTCAACAAAGCCCATGATGTAAGAGGCAATATTTTCCAAAAACTTTTTGACCTCTGTGAATCTTTCACAACAAGAGCTCACAGATATTTACTATATGAAGACCTGTGGTCAGGCTTTATTCAAAACACTGACCTGTAAACTATCAATTCTCCTTAGGGCTGTTTTATAATTGAACATTTGGGGTGGGGTGGGGTGAGATTGGGAGGCATTTTTTTTAAAACCCGGACCTCCCATTCATTTTACTTATAATTCTTACAAAATTCTAAGGAAAATGCAACTGTCCTTATTTAATTAATCTAAGTGCCTCACCCAATAAATTTTTGAATAGCCTTTATTGGAAGTATGCTTTGTGTATTCAAGATTTTGATAAGAAAATGTCATTATCTCATCAGTGCATGAGGTTATCATTTTCACTATTCATTAAACCAGATTGGCCAAAACATTTTTGTTCAGAGTATCTTTCAATTTGTCAGACAATTATATGGTCTGTAAAGCTGGATTTTTTTGTTTGGTCACAAACCAGAAAATACCATGAAGCCAGCGAGTCAAGTATTACACATATGATATCATTTTACTACTAGAAGTTAAGTACACCATTTGTAATCTGGGATTGAATGAAAAGATGATGATTCATGTTGTTTCAATGCTATTTTTAAACACAGTGTTGGCACTATTCAATTTTCCTTACTGGTGATTACAACCAATATATTTCAGACATGACAACCTGAAAAATCTAAATGTATCAAATTTTAAAAAGAAACAATGCTTGTTAAATCTTTTGGGATTATTTCACATATTTGCATAAGTCTGTGAAAATGCAGAATTCGACCATTCAACACATTTTGCTGTACAATTGAAAATGCAAAAAAATATATAAAATATGGGAAAATTTGTATTTGTATATGTAGATGTGTAATGTCAAATGGAGAAATTACATCATTTGAGACTAATAAAAATAGCAATTTTATCATTTACTGCAAGTTGTTAAAATTTAAAACGTTGCTGTTCAGAAGAATTTTCTTGCTTTTCAACAATTAAATTCTTGAACGGTACCAGTTCTGCAGATTCATTGGCTTACAGTTATAATTTTTTAGTTTCTACCTGCAATGTACATGTGTAAACTTTTTCTGAGGGTAAAATAAAAGAACTATGTTAATAAAAAGACAAAGTTTAAACGGTATGTCTTTAGCCATTTGATTTGTTCATATATGTTACACAATTTATATGATGCAGGGCTCTTAAGTATATTTGAGGTCAACAACTAAACTTTACTCAAACTTTTAAATATTTTTGCCTGTGATGAGGCTGTCACTGGCATTTTGAGAACCCTGCAAAACAGTAAGAACAATGTAAACTATGTACAAAATGTAAGTTTATACAAAATACAGTGTGAGCTCAACATCCAACGAAACATCATCAATTTACATTATACATATATACATAAAATATACATTTTTTCAGAAGTGTATGTTGTGTGCAAGTTTTAAAATTTGAAGTCATCCATAAATTTGGACTGGTTTCATCAAAATGATAATTTAGCTTAGTTAAACCTTAGCAAATTGTTAAATTTGTCTAAATTTATAAATGACTTCTAAAAGCTGTAGTTGGAAAAATTGAACACAAATTTTCAAAATGGTGAATAACATCTGATCTAATGCTTTACCCTCTTTATCTCTTTTCTTCAAATCTGATGCATTTGCTGAAGGTGCTCCTCCAAAAATAGTTGACTGACTGGATGGCTGTGCTTTCCTGTTGATATGTCTAACTGAAGACGCGTCGTCAGTGTTGTCAATTGGCCCACCAAATATATTAGAACCTGCAGCAGCTTTTGCAGAATTCTGCTTTTGTTCTTCTGCAGCAGATTTGGTGTGTCCTACAGAACCAGATCCAAAAATATCACTGGAGCCACCACCTGGAGGTCTCAGAACTCTGGGAAAATGTACAAAACAATAATTATAACCATTTCATCATGTTCATTCTAAGTACATAAAAACTTTCCAACAAAACATACAAGATTAACAGAATTATGGAGAATTATTGTGATTGCTTTCCTTAATCTGTATCAGTAAGTACTGGGAGTATTGTGTAACTTATACAGTAGTTTAAGACAGTACACATTAGCATCACATGCATGTTTTTGTCTATTTTGTGGTATTTACTTATTACTCATGTTACTTATGTCAATTTGGAGTTTGCAAGTGCTATTGGTTAACAGCATTTTAGTTTTTATTCTTTTTTAACAGTAAGAACTAAAATAAGGACAGGCTTTTTTAATTTGTTGGTGTACAGATTTTTAATGTTAAGAACTAGTGTCAGTCAGTCACTTTAAAAATAGAAGAAAAAATATCTATAGATTAAATAAATATTTTAGCTTACTAATATTTTTTTGTCATTATTTTTTAATTTTTGGTTCCAAACATTAATTGCTCATCTGTTTTAAACATACAATGCATGCCATTGTCCTATAAATTTGTAAAAAGGGTATGTCCACAGACAAACGGAAAAAAAAATAATCATTTCACGAACGAAAAAAAACCAGCTACTTGTTGCTATTTATTAAATTTCAGAAAAAACAGAGAATGATGCTCTTCAAGCATGAAAACATGTGCAATAAAAAATGCAAACACGTCGCACAAAAATAACACTTTCACCATCCGTGTCATAAACGAAGTAGACCGGTCCAAAGGAATAACAAGGATATCAGTTTCATCCTTTTGCAGGCAATCCTGCTTTTGATATCCACATGAATGAAGATTTTTTTTCCCAATCTATGAAACAATAAAATTCCAAATTGTTTGTGGATATCTGTTACTTTTAACTTGATGTCCTTCATGTTGGGACACTCCATTTTATCTAGATGAAAAATCTTATATTTGATGTGTTTCCCTCAGTTTTAGTTTGTAACCCGGATTTGGTTTTTTCTCAAAAGATTTATGAATTTCGAACAGCGGTATACTACTGTTGCCTTTATTTTTTACAGTATTATGAAAAAAAAAGGAAAACAAACTTATTGTTATCAAATGGCCTTTTAACATAGGTTTCGTTCAACAAAATTATTTGTGCAAACAACATTTCAAGGTCAGTTTTGATTGTCTATTTTAGGAACACAAACACACTACTTGATTTTCATTTTTTAGAATCATTAAACATGCTTAAATAAGGCATTTAATTTCAGAAAGTAGCTGCTATGCAGATGTTTTTATTTACATTTCAAGGATGATGTATTTGTTAGGGTTGTCAGGAATAAAAACCATGAAATGTTATTTTCATTTTTTCCCCTGAAAATCAGAAAAATAGGGTCAGCTGATCCATAAACCACCAAATTAAAAAGCCCTAGCCTTAGGTGATTTAGAGATCAGATACCCCAGCTTGCAGACTTTTTAACAGTAATTGCCAATAAAATGCTTCGCTGGGGCGCAGCTTGATACGACCGCAGAGGTCGAACCCTGAACAGTTGGGGCAAGTATGGACACAAAATTCAAGCTTGATACAGCTATGACTTTGGATTGTCATTAAATATTTGACACAGCATAGGTTTCTGACACAGGATGAATGTGGTGTAAGAACTGGAAAAAATTTAATTTACCTATTATGGTGGAATATCCATAGACTAAATTGTTTGTTAATTTCAATATATCAAAGAATATGTAGAATTCAATGTTTGATGTAATGTAATAAAGTTTGAAATTTGGACCGTTTTTGTTCAATGTGGACCAATTTGGTAACATGTATAAATAATCAAAAATCTAAATACATGGGAGCCCATTTAAATACATCATAAAGGTATTAAAATAGAAAGTGACATCATAGTCATGGCTAAAAATAAACAAAAATCCTTAATCAGCAACATTTAAAGTAATATCTAAAAATAAAATTCCTTTGTAACCATAAAAGCCCATTTAAATACATCATAAAGATATTAAAATAGAAAATGACATCATAGTCATGGCTAAACATAGCAAAAAACACTTAATCAGCATCATTTAACAGTAATATCTAAAAATGGAAATTACATCATAAAGGTATTAAAATAGAAAATGACATCATAGTCATGGCTAAAATTAAACAAAATCCTTAATCAGCATCAGCAACATTTTATAGTAATATCTAAAAATAAAATTCCTTTGTTACCATAAAAGCCCATTTAAATACATCATAACAGATATTAAAATAGAAAATGACATCATAGTCATGGCTAAACATAGCAAAAACCTTAATCAGCATCATTTAACAGTAATATCTAAAAATAAAAATTTCTTTGCAACCATAAAAGTAAAATAGAAAATGACATCATAATCATAGCTAAAAATAAACAAAAATTTTTTTTATTGGCAAATTTTAAATGGAGTTTATTATACTAAAACAATAAATTTGCAACCATAAACATGATAAAACCCCATTTAAACACATCATAAAAGTATTAAATAATTCAACTACATCATAAGGCTATAAAAATAGAAAATGACTTCATAGTCAAGGCTAAAGGTAAACAAAAAACCTTCATCAGCAAAATTTTATATTGGCAAATTTCCAATGAAGTTTATTACACTAAAATTGTTGGCAAATTTCCAATGCATTTATTAACAATAAAGTTATTGGCAAATTTCCAATTTACATAATTTAAAAGCAGTGTAGATGAGATATTTAAATGAGTTTGAATTACCAACCTTACACTGCTTTTAAATAATGTTCTTTACTCAATTATTTGTCTATTAAAATGGAAACCCTTGTTTTTTAACCTTTTTTCCCCTTATTCCTTAAACATTAGAGCCATAACCCCTCCCCCAAAGCCAGTTATTACTTTCCAATGTAACCTAAATTTCCAATATACATAATTTTAAATTTCAATTCCTCATGATATATAACCGTATCATTATTATTTTCTTTCATATATAAATCTGAAACAACCATCTTTAAATGGAAAATTTTAAAGAAAAAAAAAGGAAAAAAAAAAATCCTACCTCCCACACATTTTTTCAACCCCCTTTTGATTCATCATCCCCCACCTCAATCACAACCTTCAATTTGTGGTATGGTACATTGCAATACAATTTCACAGAGATCCATACACTTGAACACAAGTTTTTGTTGCAAACTAAAAAAAAATCCTTATTTTTGACCAATATTTGGCCCCTTATTCATAAATGTTTGAGCAATTAACCCCAAAACTCAATTCCTACTTTCTCTTCGTGATAAAAAATAACTTACTTAAAATGTAAATTTTAAAAACAAAAAAAAAAGGAAAAAAAAAAATTACCCCTTTTTTGACCCCCGCCCCCCTTATGATTCATCACCCCCACCCCCCTTTCCCCCCAAACCAAGCTCAATAACAGCCTTGCCTTTGTGGTATGGTCCCTTGTAATACAATTTTAGAGAGATCCATACACTTGAACACAAGTTATTGTCTAGAAACTAAAAAATGCTTATTTTAAACCCCTTTTTAGGCCCCTTATTACTAAACGTTTTGGGCAATTACCACAACACTCAATTCCAGCTTTCCCTTTGTGAAATGGAACCTTGTAGTAAAATTTCAGAAAGATCCATACACTTACACACAAGTTATTGTCATGAAACTAGAAAAATGCTTGTTTTTTGGCCCCTTATTCCTAAAATTTTGAGGCAATTAACCCCAAAATCAATCCCAGCATTGACCCTTTGTGATATGGAATCTTGTGGTACAATGTCAAAGAGATCCATATGCTAACACACAAGTTATGTCTGGAAGTTACAAAAATGCTTATTTTTGGCCCCTTTTTGGCCCCTAATTCCTTAACTGTTGGTACCATAACCCCCAAAATCAATCCCCACCTTCCTATTGTGGTATTGAACCTTATGGTAAAATTTCATAGAGATCCATTCACTTAAACTAAAGTTAGAGTGCGAAAACCATTGTGTATTCGGACGACGACGCCGGACGACGACGCCAACGTCATACCAATATACGACCTCAAAATTTTTTTGCGGTCGTATAAAAACCATTATTCAAGTTAAAGGTGACCTACAATTTATATTTTGAACACGTCCAACTCTGTAGTACATGTCAGATGTCACAATGCCTGTTGTTACTTAACTGAATAACACCGTCAGACATTCATGAAAAAGAAATACCATTTGATCTATGATCATACAAGTTTGAAGTTATGAATTTATCAAGAAGACTGGTAAATGGGTAAGAATAGAAATAAGCTCTGTTAACTTCAATTTTATATTCTATCTGTTGACATATTTTCAGCGGCATTTAAATTTTTTTTCTATTTGAAAATTAAGCTGTTGGCACCATGGTATCCATCTCGCCATGCTCACAGACCTAGTTCACACCAGGCATCCCGATCAGCAATTACACGAGACTGTAAACGGTGGGTAAGTAAAATCTGGATCTGATTCCCACAGAGGATTATGGTCGAGGGCAATCAGTCCAGATAATGCAACACTTATGAATTGCACTAAACAAAGCATAATTGCTCCTTGGGATTCAGATTCCTCTGCTGATCAAGGATCAGGATACCCGATGTGTCAAGATTTTTTGGTGATGGCAACAAGCACAACCAAACCTTCCTTACTAATGGTACCAGATTTGGATCACCTGAATTAGGTGATCACAATTCTTGAATGAAATATTTTTCAGGGTTGTTTTTTTTTCCAAAAATACTACAATACTGGAATGAGTAATTAGGTGTATACAGTAGTAACCCTATCACATTGTCTAATGTTATATGTGAAATTTCAAGAAATGAGTCCACACAAATTGTTCAGAACCTTGGCATTTTATGTACATCTCTGATTAGACCAACGCCATCCCCATCCATCTGAAGTGCTGCTGGTTGGGCTTGGCATCTGATCATGTCTGACAATTGAAGGTATCTGGAAGTAACTTGTGTTCTCTAATATAGCCTATGAGGGGGGGTCGGACCTTTATAGGGACTCCAGAATCAAGTGTTGTTAAGCTCGGGATTGATCCTTTCGGGATCCGGGAATACTTTTTTGAATTTCGGGATTTAAATTTCTTTAAATTCGGGACCTAGGGATTTCATGTTTTTAAGCCCTGGATTTCGGGATCAGGACCCCTCAGACCCACCCCCAGCCTATGGCTGCTGAAGGATCTTTGTTAAAAAGTGATGTTGGTTGGAAAGTGTTTGTAAGAGTACTAAGAGACAAGTTGTGTCAAGTTTGACTTTGGATCAGGATAAGCCATTAGTATACCAGAAATGTGATCGCCAGGTTCAGGTAACCCCGAGATTTAAAGAAATTTCCAGTGTCTGAAATTTTACTTTAGTTTGATAAATATTCATGTCTTGTAAAATAATTTATCAGACATTTGCTCAGACCACTTTTTAGAGCCAGTCTGCCTGAGGCTTGTCTCGAGAATAAAACGGTCATAGTGATTTGAAACCTCTGGTACCTTGTTTTATTTTTGTGTATAATTCTTCTGACCAAGTATTACGTGAAATACAAATTTAAAAGTTTGTTTTAAAAAAGGGGGAAAATATTTGTTGCCGGTAGTACATCGTAGCCTGTTTCTTTGCTCGATCGTGATCAAACAGTTCTGTTATTAATAAAGCTATCGAGCAGTCACACCTTGAACTATTCTTTTGACCATCTCCAACACCTGTGTAACAGTCTGTGGTCGTCATTTTGATTCTATTGGCAAACGGTGATTGCTGGTTATGTTCAAGACTTGTCTTGTGCCGACGGATGTGAAGAGTTGCGCGATTCGAATTCACGCATACCGATGATGTCATCCAGGTAACCGTAGGAATGACCTTAAATAAGGTCAAATACGGGAAAATAGTTCAATTTTAATGAGTTGTTGTTATTTTATACTTTTCTTCAGTCTTTCTGTGGATTTCGTCTCAATGATTTAAAGAATATTTACCTCTGATAGTTGAAACAATAATCAGAAATGAGCTTCAGTCACCTTCAGACGGACTATTTTTATATAGAAAAAAATATTTGCAAGACTTAAGAACTCTAGAGCAGACACGGATATGTAAACTTTGTTGTGAATTCATGTGAATTTTAGATCATTTTTCTTATAATACACTGTTTAAATCTGAATTCAAATGCTATTTTTGCATGTCTAAGCATGACTACAGTAGGCGTGACCTCGTATGAATTTCGATTTGTCGCAGTTCAATCGACCAATCAGAATCTATATTTGCTCCTATTATTTTCGCGGGAATCAAATGATCAAAACAAAGCCACGAGGGTTTGTTTACATTGTAAATGGAGTTATAGAAATCTTCCATTTCGAGACCGCATTGTAGTGTGATTGGTTACCATTAATTTATTATTCTTTGAAGATGGTTATTTAGTTCAATTTTACTATTGTAACACGAACTATGATAAAAGCTGATGCTATATCCTGAAGTCGCAGTCATCATAGATTAGTGGCTGATGCATATCAAATAAAATAAAATTTATTTAAAGTCGGTAAAAGCATACAATACAGTATATTTCACAAGCTCTTTGGAGCTTTTAAAACCGACACACTTACAGTACCAACATAACAAATAACATCAGACAAACATGTAAGAACACAGATATAAGTTTATGATGCATAGGCCTGAAATCTCAATGTTGCTAGTCTAGACGAAGTTTATGTTGTCATGATCTCTGTTTGATCTCTTTATTGCTAAAAAAATGAAATATAACCATAAGAAGAAATCATTATTTTAACAGTAAATGTTAAATTTGCTCATTAATTTGATTAAAGTTTATTCGATATGCAGATTAACATTACGTTAAACTGAAAAATTTAATTATTCTTGTTAATAAATTTAAGAAAATATTTGGGCGTATATAATCAGTTTGTTTACTAATCATAAAAGTTCTCAAAGAAAAACCACTGAACTAAGGTGGCAACATAAGGGAACATTGTAATGACCCCAGATATATAGAAACCAAGTTCGATTAACTTCTGCTAATTCGTTGATGATTTAAAACAGAAGATTATTTAATTACATGCTGCTATAATTGACTTGAAAACCCAAAGCTGAAATGTAAATGTGCAAGTATACTTGCAATTAGACCAAAAATGTGTTTTGATGGACTTTCGCCAGTCGTCATACCTTAAAAGGGAGTCCTGGGTTTTTGAGTAGATTTGAGTCTTTACCACCAAGTCTTAATTTGTCTCAATGGTATAGATCGAACGAGTTAATTCTGTCCGTACATCTACCTGCTGCGCATATGCCCTCCCTTTTCACATCCCGAAAAAACTATGAAGTACATGCTGTGGAATAATTTAATCTTCATATACCATTGTATGATATCCTGTGACTTTAACCTCTTAGAATTGTCATGGTGAATGAACATATTTTCAAACAAAAAAAATAAAATCAAAGTTAAAAATGTGACATATAATTACTCTCTTCACATTCCCACGAGATATAAATTGTTGTGACTCAAAGTGTAATTGGGAATGTGTTGATATCAGAGATTTGTTTTTTTTATTTATATTTTTTTAGATGAAATAAAGTGCGAGTATTTTGGATGTATGGATCAGGTTGTTATATATATAATTGAACTCTGCACATAAGTTTTGATTAAAATCCAGATTTGGATATAATTGATCATAAATGAGATTGGATTGCTAACTTCATCTGATTGCAACTGGAATTTGATTTTAAAGTCATATGAAACGAGTTTCTCAAAATTATAATGTTAAAGAAATTATTGAACCAATGCAAGCCAGGTGCATGTGGATCCAGGAATTCGAAAAGGGGGAAATTGCCTTGCTCGCTAACTTTTGGAGTGATACTTGTCAAAGGTCTATGCATTTATCCTATATTTAGCTTCATAAGTGGGCCCACCCCATGGGCCCACACCCTAAATCCACATCTGCATGCATATATACTAAACTAAATTATCTATGCACACTTTTTTTGTACATTTATTACGAACTTCTACAACGTATTATCGACAGATGAGATTTCATTCAGTGATTTTGGTCGAAAAATAATTAACTTTCCAGTTTGTTTTCGTAGATTAACGGATGGTGACATTGATAAACAGTCAACACAGAATCATGGAGCACGTGAAAAACAAAGAATTGATAGAGCGATGTTATTTTTTCTTTATATTTTCCTTGAATTCCCATTTGTTAATTAAACGTTTTCATAACAGCTGTTTATTTATACTTTAAGAATACATTTTTACTATTTACATTCAAGCGAGCGTTTGTTTACATTCTTTCATCACGGTCGTTTTTCTCTCGCATTTTGCGCTGAGCGGTGGCAAAAGTTCTAAAGAGAGGTCGCGCAGTTAAGGTCAGTGCATACGGAAAAATATCGGCGAATTTATTATAGTACGGAAAGACAATCTGAATTTTATAGCAGTACATTTCTGACGATTACAATAAGATAAAGTAGGTTCTTTTACAAGAAAACACACGAACTCTAGTTTTATGGCAAAACTTAGCTATCCAAGTATAAAAAAAAAACAAAAGATATTCAACATTTTTTTTAAATTGAAGTATCATATGACTTTAAGGTCGAAGACAAATACGTTATAATTTATGAATACTACTTGATGACATTCAGTTTCGTAAATGCGTTATATTAAAATTTAGTCTTTGGCCTGAGAGTAGTCTCAGCTTTGGCAAATTTTAATATCACAGTTGTACTGCGTTTTTGATTTGGTATTGATAAGATTCTGTATGAAGTTCGAATGGATTTAAGAAATATACTATGAATGACTAAAGTTTAATTAACAACTGTAAACATATCTTATATCGGGAAAAAGTCAGCTAGAATACGTTTTTCTGTCTTCGGTTTAAGTTAAGATATCGAGGTGGGGGATTTGAATATTTGGTATTGGTTACACAGTGATTGGTTATATTACTTATTATACTCAGAGATTAGATTGGACACGAAATTTTAGATGTACTATACATATAATGTTTTTCCGGCAGTTATATAATTATATAACAGATTTGATCAATTTATATGACAATGACTGGAATAAGTTTATTTATATTTTAGCTTTATAATTTGGATACAGAAGTCCTATAGGGATTTACAGTAAAGTCTCCACTAGGAAGTAGAATTTTGAAATAGAACTGAATTAGGGATAGATTTCATAGGACAGCAGAAAAATTCCAACTGAAATTAATGGATCATCTAAAAATGATGTCCAATCTGGAAATATGGCATCACGTTCTCTAAGAATCGTGATCATAAGTTTAAGCTTGGTCCCGATACGCATACTGGTGAAGCCGGATTTTCATACACCACCTGCAGACAATGGCGTGGGAGTGGACTAAAGACTGGAGGTAAATTTCTGAAATTGATAAGCGAAACAAAGTAGGAGCTAATTGGTCATGCAGTTTTCTTTTTCATTTTCTCCAAAAATTGGGGGGGAACACAATCCCCTCCCCCTCCCCTCAAAGCGCCTACGCCATCGAAACCAACTTGTCTTTTCAATCTTCATCAACTTAGATATCCTTGATCAAACAGAAAGACAACCGATCTTGACCCTTACAGCATAGGGTTAGTTTGAAATAGAGAAGAAGAAAAAACTATCATTCACTGATAAAATCGTTTTTTTAATGATGTGGTGAAAATATACAAAGTTTTCCGAATGCGACATCAGACTTCGCCACAATATTATATTCCTGAAGTTTTGTACTGAACAACAAGTATGATATCCCCTGTATATATATACATGACCATTATATATTAGGATTCCCTTCTCTGCTTTTCTTACAACTTTACAACATTAAATATCAATTCGCTTCTATCAAAATTTTTGCATTTGAAAATGTAAAAATTTCAACCCGCATTCCGCAAATTGCTACACCATATTGAAATGGTATGATAAATAAATCTTTTCCTTTTACAATTTCTGATAATAATAAGGTTCCTGTATTCTTGTCGAAATCCACCATGCAAGACTTTTTACACCATAACTTTTCTTGTTTCTGTTCGATCGCCTATAGCTAGCCGACTCAGTATACATGCACGATATGGGGTTTTCTCATGGTTGAAGGCCGTACGGTTGCCTACAATTGCTTACATCCACTTCATTTGAATTTTGGTGGATAGCTGTCTCATTGGCAAGCATACCTCATCTCCTGATTTTTATATAGCTATGTATGATTAACCGAAGTTCATAAAATTTCACAGGATCATCGGCAAGGAAAAACTAAAAAGTCATTAAAAAAAAATAAAAAAAAATGCTCCCTCTTGTTTTAGATTGGTGGAACTTTCTAATATTTTTTTCTCTGTCAAGTCCATGCTATCTGTCACCCAGTATATATATATATATATAATAGAAAATTCAACGAAAAAAACATCATTATTTATAACATGTGCATAAAAATGTCTCCAAGAACCTTTTCAATAATTTTAGATAATTTAACACCTAGCTTTTAATTGTTTGCAACAAAATGATAAAACACAACATTTCTTTCAGTTGGAATTTTTGATAAGCTGCAACATTATAGCAAAAAAATATTTTTGGAAAACTATATCAAAAAGAAATTTAACTGGTCGAAAAAGTCACATGACATCATTTTCTGGACAATTTGCTAAATTGCAGCAATGATATAATTCTTGGAGATAAAAAAGCTGCTGCATTTATCAAAAATGTATGGATAAAGCTTTCTTTCCTTTGAAAAAAAAATTGGTCGACTTTTGCGCGTGAAGACTTTGCTTTTTGATAACCCGGCTCCGACTGACTTGACAGTTCAAAGTTGTTTTGTTCAGGAAGGGTCGTTTACCCATTTACTTTATTAGTGTATTTGTTATGATTTTGACGTTGTTTTGTTATGAAACTTTTATTAAGTTGCACCAGTGCATGGTAGATATATATGCCTATGACGAAAAGACGGAAAACTGAGCAGGGAGAGGGGAATTCAACTGAAAAAGAGAAAGAGAAAAATCGGTAAGTATGAGAGAAACCGCCATTTTGTTCGATTTACCACAACATATAATCGATGTTTTTGTTATTTATTTTTAATTAATTTCAACAAAATATACATTTAAAATGTACTGCAATATTTAGAAAAAGTATCAATATAATTAATGATAAAAATTGAATATTAAATGCAACTTTAATTTGCAAGAAAACAGCAGAAATCTGCAGGCTATGATTTTGTCTTCTACGCTGTTTGTGGAAATTTTGGCAGCCATGTTGAATTTTTATATTGCAATTAAATATTGTTTTAATTGATTTTATGCAATAATTATACGTTATTTAAATACTAGGACGACATCTGATAATAAAGATGCCGTGAAAGAAGACAAACAAAGCAAGGGAGACCATAAAAGCGAAACGAACGATCGTAAACATCCACAAACAGGACGTCAAGATTCTTCTCAACAACCACAAGATACCCAACCAAAGGTCCCACGTATTGGTGCTGTAACAAGGTCAAGAGTTGTCAGAAAGCCTAAAAGAGACCTTAGTCCACCTCCATCACCTACAAAGAAACCTGGTATTAATTTAATTCAAATACATCAAACACTAACATCAATTTTATTGTTCAATACACATCTATAAATGTACATCAACATGACAAAGGAATTCTTGCAAAGAGGTCGATTTGATAAAGTTTAAAATGTCAACATTTTAATTTGTTTAAGTGAGAAATTAAGAATTATAAGATTTATCCGGTATTAAAAAAAACATATTTTAAATTAAAAAAAATTAAACTGACAGTTTCTAACAAAAAGGTAACTCTGAGTATCGGGTGTCGCTGTTTGTAGCCTGTTATTAAAATTAAGTAGCATTAACTTTTAAATGTAACTTTATATATATATATACAGACATACACTTAGGTACACATGCATCCAGTACTAGTAACATCAATATGCAAGTGTAATTATTACTCAAAGCTGCAAAGGGGAATGGTAAAGCATATTGATCATATTGATATGAAATTTGACATACAGCATCCATATTCATTTCCATAAGAAAGATATTTATTTTATTTAGCATTTTAATATTCTCTTAAAACTGCATTGATGTCATTTTATTCTTGAACACATGCATTTTTATTTCTTTTTTTTTTAGCTAAAGAGACAAAGACAAATACTCCAGAGACAAAACAGAAACGTCAATGGGAACTTTGGAGCGTTGATGACAAGGACGCATTCTTTGACGGATTGTTTGAGGTTACCTTATATTGATTGTGTATTAAGTTGAAGAACATTAAACAAAATGGCAGCCTTTTCGTTATCAGCATGAATATAAAAAAGTTGGCTAATTGCAAGTTGTAAATTTTTTTTATAGATAAGTAAATTTACATGTGATACAGAAAAAACTCTGAAACTTGGTTCCAAAAAAAAATCTAACCACATAAAAAACTCGTCATGAACATTTCAGCATAACTTATGATCAATTTTACGTGTAAGATAGAGACTCAAAATTAATAATGAAAATAACGTTTCTAGAAGATTTTGCAATATCTACATAAATGAGTTTAGCACTTGTACATTTTAGTAACTAAGTAAGGTAGCAATACAATGCTTGATGATGTTATTGATCACAATGTATGTCATCTCAGCAAGGTGTTATTTTTTCAAATATCCCTTTTAAATTTATAGTTGAAACCAACTTAAATGACTGATAAAACTGGCATATATTCAAGGGGGGAAAAAATTATCAATGAATGCTAAAAAGTCAAAATGGTAAAATTGTGAAGGTAGCAGATGCTTGTCATCTTGCTATTTACAACCCCCCCCCCCCCCCCAAAAAAAAAGACTCCATGCTAAGGCACAATGAAGAAACACTTAATTTCCATTATAATTGAATGTTTATTTCAAACATTATTGATTTATCAAAACAAAATCTTCTTTACTTAGGTTGGAAAGGACTTTGATGGAATTCAGACCTTGATAGCACAGAAGAGTAAGAAGAAAGGAGTCACTCCAGCACTTGTGAAAAATAAAGATCAAGTTCGCCACTTTTATTACAGAACTTGGCATAAGATATCTAAGTTTATCACATTAACTCAAGGTATTTAAAACTCACAAACAAGCCTATATTTGAATTTATTTTCTGGTTCTCAAATACACAAACACATACCACCATGTAAAAAAAACACATACCACCATGTAAAATAAACACATACCACCATGTAAAAAAATCACATACCACCATGTAAAAAAAAACTGCTATACATTCTTAAGCTTGCTACTAGAAAAACTAAACCGAGTTACAATTGAAAAATGAAATATGAAGGATACCTGGTTTAATGAACTGTCTTTTAATTTAGCAATTTTTTCCAAATGAAAATGATTATATTAAGCAAGACATCTTTCATTGTTCAGGGATCTTTCTGGGTTTTGTCAATGGCACAGCATGCCATTTTTGTCTCTGTGAAGTTGCATGGGTGGGACTTGGGCGCGCTGTGTCCGCGTCAGCAGCATCAACACTTTGTTAAAGTTTATGATTAGGTCAGTTTAAGTTTAAAGATATTTTTATATTTGCATATATAGGAATTGTATTTGTTTAATGGAGAACGAACACCAATTTAAATGTAAAGTAGTTACTGAATGTTGATCAGTGTTGTTGAAAATTACATTTTTCAATGCATCTTTCATGAAAAATATAAAATAAAAATTCAGATGAAAGGAATTATCTTATTCTTCAGTTTGTTATGCCCAATTTCTATAATTATTTAGATCTGTTTTAAATTTATTTTTCATTGAAATTTAAATATGAAAATATTAATGTTGCAGATGTGAAAAAAGAATCTCAAGAAATATATGGTTTGATTAACTATGGAGTTCTTAGGAAGAGGATAAAAGGTTTGTGCGAAATAATTTTATTATTCATGGGATACCAATTTTTCGTGGATTTAGTCGGTATGGGTAAACCACGTATTTAAATGTTAAAACGAATCATGAATTTTCTATAGGTTTGTAAGCAAACTTTTGCAATACCACAAAATCAAATATCGACAAAAAATAGAATTGTTCCTCAATCCATGAAAAGTGGTACACACAGTACCAGAGTTTTAGGTGATATTGTAACAAGTTCAAAAGCATCAGAGGTTATTTAAAGTCTAAAATATGCAGAAAAAACTTTGTCGGAATGTTAATTGTTTTAAATTCCTCTTGATTTACTATTGTGGGGGAAATTTTGACTGAATTGCAATACACCACAAAATGAATATTTGTTTTTGCTTATGTATTGGTTAATGTTGAGTGTTGACATAGATGAATCAATAAAAAATATTAGAATAGAGGACAAATTATCTTACTTATAAACATGCAATATTTCAGTTATTTAAAATGAAGAATAAAAAGTAACTTAATCACTTCGATACTCATTTCTTATTAAAGTTGGACTAGTAAAATTTAGACATTTTACATGTAGATACCTATGTAATATTTGACAAATTTATATTTAATAGGACTCAATGAAAAAACAGGTGCCAAGTTAAATGATCTTGTACATAATGGGTATGTATTACTAGAAGTTAAATACTTTGCTACACGTTTGATTTATAATGATATACAAATAAAAAATGCCATCAATGGAACTGCCACTGAATTAAAAATAAAAAAAAAAAAAACAATCCTAAAGCAAACAAGCAGTTACATTTGCCATAAAAATTTGGCAGTGTAAGTGAGAAGTCATTTAGACAATGATCTGCAGAATATAATTCAATAGAAACTTGTAAAAATATGATCTAGTTTGGCTAAGTTATATCTCAATTTGCAAAAATTCTAGTCAGAAAGGATGAATTTTAATTCAGACTCATTAATCAAATCTTTATTCATCATGGTAAGAGATCTACTTCAGTGACTCCGGTTCCCTCTACCATACAATTGTACACATACAGTGAAACCTGTCTAAAGGGAACCTTGTTTAAACTGAAAATCTTTTTTTCATAACATATAGAGAATCTTTTTATATCTTTTTACCTGATTTACAGTCTTATCTGAGCAAAATCATTAGTCCAAAGAGGTTCCTGTTAGACAATATTCTTTGTATAAAACACCATCTGCCAACAAACCTGAACAAGCTCAAGTTATAGGAAAATAGTAAGGAAGGCAACTTCTTAAGTCGTCCAGTTAAAAAGAAACCTTTGGGATTTTATAATAAAGTGGTTGCTTTAGACTGTTTGTCATATTTTATGGGTAATGTAGCTGTGTTCTTCACCAAAATTATAGCATTGATTGATATAATATGCATCCAAGGAATTCTGCTATAGCTAGTGTTATGGATTGTCTTGAACTTGTAGTGAGGTGTGATGTATTGTTCCATGTGACTTTGAGGTGAAGAACAACAATAAAAGTACTTTTCCTTTTCAATTATTTTTATGCCAATTACGATAGTAGAGGGGCATTATGTTTTTCGGTCTGTGCGTCTGTTCGTTCGTTAGTCCGTCCGTCTGTCCCACTTCAGGTTAAAGTTTTTGGTCAAGGCAGTTTTTGATGAAGTTGAAGTCCAATCAACTTGAAACTTAGTACACATGTTCCTTATGATATGATCTTTCTAATTTTAATGCCAAATTATAGTTCGGAACCCAATTTCACGGTCCACTGAACATAGAAAATGTTAGTGCGAGTGGGGCATCCGTGTACAATGGACACATTCTTGTTGTCAAGTGTGTTTATAGTGATATTGTGTGATAAATTAATGCGCCATATCCTTTCTTTACCTGGGATTTATAAACCTGTAGAATGAGATTTTATCTTTCATTATAGGTTTACAACAGTGAAAATAAGAGGCAAGAATCTAAGGTTTGTACAAGTATACATATAGATTGTATCACTGGATCAACTTGGCAAGTGATCTATTAAATATCTTAAAATTGACAGCGTAAAATCAGGAAGTATTAAGACACTCTTGTTTAGATTTTCAATCTCTTAATCAGGCTTGTCTTAGGCAGAGACAATAAGAAATCGTTCCAAGTTTTGCACAATTGCTGATTTTTTTCTCAGTTGTGTAACTGTGAAATGGGTTGAAACAAATTTTTGTTGTTGGGTTGCTGTCTCATTTATGTATACCTAACATGTATGTTATTTCACCCAAATTGTTAGTCCAAAACAGGAATTTGAAAGGTACATTTGCCAGAAATAAACTTAAAAATAAAGGAATCTGTTAATAATTTTGTCTTGTAAATTATATGTTTACTATGCTTTCATTTAATAATCATGATTATTATTATTTCAGAATAAAGACACCAATTTGCCTTGCACTGAAAAAGCTAAACAACATCGACACAACAGGTAAGACTATACCAAGATGTAATAGAGGAATATCAAGGGAAGAAATTTTGCTTTGAAGGAAGGAAATTCCTAAGATTAATTTTAGATTGAGAGGTTATTTTTAGAAAGAACTGATTATCTCCCATGGAATTAGCTAGCATCTCAAAAAATGGCTATTATTTTGGAAAGGTTTAGTTGAACTGGATAATATTTAATTTCCTGCACCAAATGATAAAAACATCCATCAGATTTATTTATAGAAAACAGAGTTATCTCCCATTGTACAACTGAGAATGGCTAGGTATTTTGATTTCTCAGCTGGGAAATATTTATGTTCTTGGGATGAAAAGTCAGGTCAGTTGTAATACTTCATTATTCTGAACATTAAAGCAAGATTTGATTGTAAAAACTATTAAACCACATACCCAAGATAAATTTTTAGAAAAATATTAAATTTTATCCAAAAATGGGCAAGATTACAAATATTTAATTAGGTCTGAATTATTAATATATTATATGTATTTACATATTAACAAAATGAATCAGATTTATTTATAGACAAAAGAGTTATCTCCCATACTTCAGACAATAAACTGCAGAATTTTTTTATTTCTCAGTGAATAAAACTTGACTCAGCACTAAAACAATTAGTTCTGTGAGATTTGAAATATACCTGAAAATGAAATACATGTAAGTGAAATTTATTCAGATACAAGTAGTAAATATTTTGCATTACATGTAAATATGGGTCAAATTATATTGTTTTTGTTCATTTAAAGTGTTTATCAGTCATAGTTAGCTGTCAAATGACAAAAGCCAGCACTTAGTTTATCACAATTACAGACATACATGTAGTGTTAAAAGACAAGGTTAGCCTTTGACCTACAGTTTCCCTGAATGACCTGTTAGATCAGTGAAAATCATAAGTAGATATCTCAACAGTCCAGATTGATTTTTAAGAAAAAAAATTAAAACACTGCGCTTAGGCACACAGTAAGTAGCACAGAAAACTAATGTGATGTTTTAATTTTTTTACAGAGCACAAATGTAATGCTGCAGACAGAATTCCAAATAAGATACATGTGGAAATGAATCCAAAGACTAATGCCACATGGAATATGATACAGGAAATGGCATTTAATCCACGTCTTAAGTTGATGTTGAAACCCAATAGAACATTGTCGTCTGTCATCACATATTTAAGTCAAAAATGGAAGTCTCATAGATTAAAACTTGTATCCTTTTACCAGTCTTACAGCAAATGTAATCTTATTGGTACATATATTTGTGTGAATTATGATGTATGGTAGATTGGACTTTCATTTTACAACTTTGTATTGTCATGGTAATGTTTACACTAATTTAAAAAAAAAACATTAGTAAAATACAAAACAGGCACCGAAAAAAAAACAACAGAAATGAATATGTTTAGCCAAAAAGCTTATGTCAAACCAGAAAACATTGTTTTAGATTTCAGCACACTTGACAGAAGATTTAAAATATTTCTGTTTGCGATAGCATAGTGATGTTAAAAGCTTTTTGTGGTATTAAATTTTTATACTATGATAATTTGAAAACAAGGAAGAAAGAAAATAGATGGTAGCGCACATTGTATCCTTGTACATGTTGTAATATGACATCAATATAAATTTTAGAAATGGAGGATTTTTAGGTAAGGTCATACATTTGTACTATGGCAAACATACTTAATTTCAATGTTTGCCTCCTGCAGTGTAAGTACGGGTAAGTCTGAACATGACAGCATAATGACATTTATCTATATATTGTGCACACTGTTATCAGCATACTCATATTTGTGGTGATTTTGTAATTCATATATTTGACTGATAAATTTTCCTTAACACTAACTAGAAGGAGAATGTTCCTGGAGCTGAGACAGAACCTGTCCCCGTACTTACTGTTTATCCCCACCCTGACTGTGATATTACTCCACTGACTTTACAAGCTACAAAAGAACCAAAAATCAACATCACGTTCAGTGACTACAGAGAAAATATGCAATTAATGAGTAAGTACAGTATTTGAAGTTTTTTTTCAAAACAGTATTTTATGGTTTAATCAGGATTCATTAACTTTTGCATACATGAACCTGATGTACATTCTCCAGGGAAGTTTTGTGTACATGTTTGAAATACTTGTAAAATGTGATAATACAAAAAAAGTACTCAACTAAGTAAATAGCCAGCTCATTTTAGTAAACAGACTAGTTAGTTTTGAACAGAAAATCTCTTTATTTACTAGTAATCTTTTCATCAAATGTGTTATCTTCCAGAATTTGACTGTCTAACTGTCGTCCCAGCTGTTTATCTTGTCTAAATTCTCATCTTTTGTTTAAATTTTATTTATTTTCAGACTCTCCGATAATTTCAAAGGATAAAAAAGGAGAATGTACTAAAACTTCATCGACAGTGTTTAGTGAAAATTCTCATTCTGTAGATTTTATGGACCCTAAAAATGGGATGTTTGAATCACCAAAATCTAGAGGAACTGTAAAAGACAGTAAAACAGGGATGACTCCTTCCTCGTCCATGTGTTGTAGTGTGTACAGTAATGATGCAGCGTTTCTGAGTGAGGGGGAAAACGCAATGTTCCCAGACACACCTCTGTCAAGGAATAATTCCAAAAGTACTGAAAATTTAACAGAGACTGACTCCACAGATGGTACACCTCCAAGGAAGAAACATCTGTCCGGGGGCACTGAATCGGAAGTTGTGAAAAGTAGTGACAATGAAGATAAGTCGGAAAAAGAGGACCAAGAGTCCCTAAACATTAAGGAAGCCTTTGAAAAAGGTTGGACTTCTACTAGTGCTGAAAATTTGACTATTGCCCAGTTGTTTCTTATGATTGGCAAAGACAATAAGATTCGATTAGAGTATGATTTTTGTAAGGAAAGTACAATTGAAGACATTGTTAAAACACAATTGACGAATACTCTAAGACGATTGGTGCATTTGGCTGTCATGGAGATGACTGATGTCAAGGTATATGTATGTTTTATAAATAAAATCCTTTTTGCGATTACAGGGTTGAGAATAACCTGTTTGGTTGGCAAGAATTGGTTGATTTCCATTGTATATGTATGGAAAGACAAGTTTAAATTATGATAATGTTCTTGCTATTTTAGATTATTTTCTTTCTGAAGGAAAGATTTTAAGGAATCGCTTAAATTGTATGGAATGTTTGATGGAAGTAGAAGATTGGAATCAGTTATGTTTTGATATTGTCTAAAATATTAAATATAAAATTACAAAATTCAGAAATGTGACATAGAAATGTGGTATGATCATGTTATTGCGAATGAGACAACTATCCACCAGAGACCAAATGACATAGATGTTAGGAACTTAGGTTGTGGTACCGCTTAATCAATGAGAAAAACCCATACTGCAAAGCAAGCTATAAAAGGCGATGACACAACAAAATGCAAAACAATTCAAATGAGAAAACCAACAGCCTGATTTATGTAAATACAAACGAAAAACAAAGATGATATACAGTAACAAAAGACAACCACTAAACTACAGGCTCCTGACTTGGGACAGGCACACACAGAATGTGGTGGACAAATATGTATATTTGAATGATGTCTCTTTTTTCAGATTTTTTTTTTGCTCAAAATATGGAAACAATAATTTGAATGGTTAATTGCAGAGATGATACAAAAAATACTTTATCATTTTTATCATGTTTATCATGTTTATATTTCTTATTTTCATATGTACAAAAAAAATATGAAGTAGGACATATCATTATTGCCTTTGAAGATTTCTTCAACATGTTTTCAACACTAACAAAAGGATTTTTAACTGTATCCCCTTGTGTGAAGGATAAAAAGTTAAAATCAAAGGATTTGCAAAATTTTAACTTTTTATCTATTTCAAAATTTTTAACATGAACAAATTTTAAAGACATATTTTTTCTTGCAGGGCAGTTCATCATCCTCATCTCCTTGTCATACATGTGGTGCTGTTAGAGCAAAAGCAACAAAAGGTTGTGGTGTCAAAGGTCAAAGGGCAGTTGGTAAAAACCCATTGTCTTCCCGGTCTGGCTCGGGTGATGGATTGGTTGATGCTGGGACACAGACAACATTTAAACTTGCAGAGGTAAGTAGTTCAGATTACAGTTAAATTTATACCTTCTTTGTGAACCACTTAAAATATTTTTACGTAAGCCTGTTTACAATATCCAAGTATGTACATGTCACTTGGACCTGCCAATCAAAATTTTAAGTTTTAATCTCTTTTGTCCAGGCTTTAGAATTAGTGCCAGTGAGAGACATTAAAGTAATCTTTATTATTTTAAATTGGTAAATTTTAGCTTTAGATATTTAAATTTAACATGCAATGACATGTTTTTAAAAAAAGGAGAAAAATTTGTGTATCAAATTGACCCTGAAATCCAATGCATTTCAGAATTTCTAAAATTTGCAGAGTTAAATGTTAAATTTATGTACTTTAATCCTTTTCATGGGTAAAAATAATAACCGTAAGTTCAGTAAAATGCTGCTCCATTCTTGCATGTTGAGAAATGATATAGAGGACAACCCTTGTTCAAAAAGATGTTCACTCAGGAAGAGTGTTTTTAGTAAACCGATTCACAGACAAAAAATATTTTGGGCAACACTATGCAAATAGATGTGCTTTCTATACAAAGGTTCACCTATTTTGAAAGAATTCATTCTGACAGTAATGTTTTAGAAAATTAAAAATATTCATTTTTTTTATTTTCAGTTTAAGCTCAACGAGCCAAGGTTGTATGCAAAATTGTACCAAAATCTGTGACATAGCCCATTTACTGTAAATTGACATTAAGGGGAAGAGAAGAAACTTATATGCCATTTAAGTAAATATTTTTAATAATTTCTTTCAGCCAATAAATTCTAGTCAAGGTAAAGAGGCTGTGTTTAAAGTACCAGTAGCAGGGACAGCATTTCTACAGAGAAATACACTGCCACCTGGATCTGTGCCTGCCAGTAGGTCACTTAATCAAGCCTTTAATGTTCTTGTAAGTATTACACACTTTAAGAATCTGAATTGTATTATCAGACTATTTTTTCCTTTCTTTTTAAGGGCTATTCAAGGAAAATTTGCACATGCTGTATGCGAGGTTATAACACCTCATGATATTATTTTCTTTGGGTAATTAGGATGGAAACAAATGCAATTATGGTACAAATACAAGAAAAAAATATGAGTGGATGGATATAAAAAACTGTTGTCAAAGCGCTGCATTCATCTTCTTTCTGGAATAGCCCTAAAATCCTAGTGAAACAATATTTATAGGGATTATTAAAACTATAATTGGTTCATATATTAGTCTGGCTGTCCTTTTTAGTTACAATTTATTTTAAATGAATGACTAGATTTCAAGGAATCTTCATCAAAATTACCAGTTCCATGTTGTATTGTACACTTCCTATTTTCTTTTTGGACTATAATTTGAGAGTTAGTAAAACATGAAATTTGCCATTTAGATTCAAATAATGATTTTGGGTATTAATTTATTACCTCTTCTCAGTATTTTTAATTTAATCAGTATTAAGATTTGTAGTCCATATTTACAGAATGAGTATTTATGATTGTAGGGACCTGGCTACAAAAGTGGAAGGAAAATAAGACAGATTAACAGAAAGCCAATGGTTGTACAGAGAACAATACTGCCTAAAGCACCAAATTATTTTCTCGTCCAACCTAACGGACAAAACTTAAAAACTGTGATAAATGTGCCAAACTCTATACCTATTTTATCCAATGTTAGTACTGCACCTCCTGGTAAGTCTCCTATAATGAGGAATACACAAAATTCAGGAATATTTGTGATGTTTTTAATATTGGGAAAATTGTGACTAGATTATTTGTTGCAAAAAAAAACCACCTGTATTTTTAATTTTGATTGCATTATTTGTATTCAGCTTCCTGAACCCAATTTCCAATCTCACATTTTCGCCCATTGTTAAAAATTGCAAAAATAAATGGTCTCAAAAATTTCGTAATTTGTAGTTGTAATGTCACACAATACTGTAAAGAGTATAACTGAGATTGTCTAACCTTCAGATCATTACAATCTTCACATTGGTGAGATTGCATGACACAAAAACCTCCGACACAAAAGGATTAGATTTCATAGAAGCTTGTAGTCCACGTTGTAGGCAATTGAAATCTTATTTAGAAGTTTTTTGTCTTGCACTATTGTAATTATAGGCTGATTAAAAAAATTAAATCAACAGCTGTTAAAATTACCAAAATACTAACAGATATATTTGAACTTGTATAATAATTTTCATATTATATAGACAAAGCTCCAAACTCTTAATTTCTGTAATCACAACACTTTTCATGTATCGATCAAAAGAGGGAACTACATGTATGTGTATTAACATTTTTTAAACCTAAACTGAATGCCATGTAAATATATAATACAAAGTGCATAACAACAGGTGTAAGTTGCATCAACTTCAAACATTGGCAATTTACTGTTACCAATATTCAACTATTTTCTTTATATACATGTATGAATAAATATTGAAGATTGACTTCTTTTTCACCAGGATTTTTCAATTCTTAAAAAGCTATCTTAAGTTTGATTTAGTTGATGAATCATGGTAGTGATTCAACTTATTCAACAATCAATAATACTATTGTTTGTTCTTTGTAGCATGTACAACAGTGAAAACTGTACAGTTAGATGTTCAGTCCCATTCCCAAACTACACTTACTTTAAATCCTAGTCAGTTAGAAGTACAGTCCCAGCTTACTCCTAGTCAGATACATGTACAGAACCATGGGTCAAGTCAATTAAATGTACAAAATCTTGGACCAGGTCAGCTTAATGTACACAATCCTGGACCAGGGCAGGTTAATATACGAAATCCAGGACCAAATCAGCTGAATGTACAGAATCCAGGACCATTACAGACTATTATGATGGGCCCTGGACATTTACCAGTGAAAATCAACCATGTGAATTCCACTGAGGTAAGTGAAAGTTGGAAAGAAGGAGATTACAATGCTATGGTTTATATTGTAGCGTAAAGATTGAAAAATTAATTTTTTATTTGCTTCAGACCAGTATAACAGACTCTTATGTATGCCTCAGCAAAACCAAAACAAAATACATAATCTTAAGTTGTACTAAATTATTCATTAATTTACATAGTGATGATGATGATGGTGAGGAAATGGTGTTTAAAGTGCAGTGGCAAATTTAACATGCTTATCATGATGAGAACATGTTTTGACTCTGGGCTGACCAGTCTTTGTTCCTACATGCTGAAAGCTTAGCTGAGAAGCATCAAAAACAAATTTTCAAGTCCTTGGTTTGAACTTATGATTAGGCATAACTTAAAAGTGACTTTTTTATCATTAAGTTGTGAATCCCAGGACAGAGTAATACATTTTTTGTAAACTAATAGTAACAACATGTACTTGTTAATAATACGCAAAGAGGATAACACGAATCATGTAAATAACAACAGTGGGAGAGCAGATGGCACATGTAGATAGCTACAATGGTTTTATCTGGAGGGAAACATTTTAGTTCTCAAATTCAACTGAATTAACTTACCAAAGATTTGGCGTATTGTTGGCATACATATACCAGATTCAGTCTTTTCATGCCTAGAAGATGTATAATTTTTTCTTGCTTGTGTAAAGTTTTAAACATATATGCTTTAATGGCCTGTTTGTAAGTATTTGTCAGTATAAACAAAGCAGCAGTGTTCAAAGTCATGCATTATTAATGATGTTATATGCTCTATTATTTTTTAAGATTACAGCAAGTTCATTAGAGATAACAGCGGGTACCACAGTAAACATTTATACATCAGCAGCTACAAGTCACAATGATGTTGTCACTACATCGTCAACAGTGCAGGGTTCTTTGTCACCGCCAAGTATTTCAAATCTGCTGGACATGTCTTTCTCAGGTTTTGGGACACCAGGTACTTTAATCATGTCTTTATTTAGACCATTAGCTGTAAAAAGCAACATTTTTTATATCTTGAAATAGAATGAGTTGTTTTGTGTGTAGAAATGATGCACCATGAATTTTCTTATTATGATTGATGAAATTCGTTAAATAAATTTAAAAATAATTCTATTTCCTTTTTCTTCTAACGATGTAAGGACAAAATAAATACCAAAAGAAAAAGGAAAATTTGAAACTCATTTGTAATATCAAAATGAAAATATTTGGGTTAATATCTAACATATACAGAGTGAAAAACGAAACAAGTGAAACAGACAATTGTCTTCAATGATAAACATAAACTCATCTTGTGAAAAATGGAATATGGATTGTGAAAGGCAATGCAAACAAGGTAAAAAAACTCGGGGGAAAGAACTCCAGTAAACATGGTCAAGTCAACAACAGAAAAGACATGCATAACCTAACAATGCTGATCCTAAAACTTGACAGGTGAAAAAATAGCTGTAGATTAAAGTCAAATTTAATTGACCAGTTGTAATTGAATATGTTAAAGATAATAGAAGGTTTTATTTGTAACGTTATAAATACTAATTCTATATTATTTCAGGGAGTGATGGTGAAAAATTATTTGAGATGGCTCTAGAAAATGGATCTTCATTTGAACGTATGTATGTTTGTGCATTTATGCTATCATGATTATTGTTTATGATGTGACCATTGGGTTTATGATAACTGTACAAGCTTAGCCTGTATTAATACTTGAATTAATACTATCATTTGAATGTATAGATATTGAAATGTAATGAAATGACAGGTCATATGCAGCAAGATTTTGTTATGAAATGGATCATACTAATACAGACCAGCAGAAAATTTTGCTACCATTAAGAATTTCTGAAATGTTTTATGTTATGACATGAATAAAAGATATTGTAGGGTATACATTCATTTAGATAAAACAACAGCCTAAAATACAAATAATCAAAAGACTTCTAGATGCACATTAATGCATTATACATATGGAAATCTGCAGAAGATGCACTTATTTACAGGGCAATCTTTTCAAAATAATTTGAAGCAAGATTTTCCTTCACACTGAATGCACACTGACAATAGATTTACTGGTCACCTCTGAAATAGTGAAATTCTGCATTACTTTGTGTATTAACATTTTCTCTTACTTTGAATAGTTTTCAAACCATGTTTGTCAAAATTATACTGACTATGCATAGTTTTTTTTAAAGTTTTGGTCTGTAAAAAAATAATTAAAATATGCGGCGGAGGCATCTTGGACAGACCTACATTCCTCTATAAGGTAAAAGTGGCATGACTCATTTTATGGTTGAATGGCTTTGATAACGTTTTAAGCTTCCAACTCCTATAACAGTATTTTTAGCTCTTCTCATCACTTGGCGTCCTTCGTCCCGCATCCGTCGTCCGTAAACTTTTACAAAGATCTTCTCCTCTGAAACTACTGGGCCAAATTTAACCAAACTTGGCCACAATCATCATTAGGGTATCTAGTTTAAAAAATGTGTCCGGTGACCCTGCCAACCAACCAAGATGGCCGCCATTGCTAGAAATAGAACATAGGGGTAAAATGTAGATTTTGGCTTATATCTCTGAAACCAAAGCATTGAGAGCAAATCTGACATGGGGTAAAAATGTTTATCAGGTCAAGATCTATCTGCCCTGAAATTTTCAGATGAATCAGATAACCCGTTGTTAGGTTGCTGCCCCTGAATTAGTCATTTTAAGGAAATTTTGCCGTATTTGGTTATTATCTTGAATATTATTATAGATAGAGATAAACTGTAAACAGCAATAATGTTCAGCAAAGTAAGTTCTACAAATAAGTCAACATGACCAAAATGGTCAGTTGACCCCTTAAGGAGTTATTGCCCTTTTATAGTCAATTTTTAACAATTTTTCGTAAATTTTTGTTATCTTTTACAAAAATCTTCTCTGAAACTACTAAGATGAATTTAACCAAAGTTGTAAACAATAATCATTAGGGTATGTAGTTTTAAAATTGTGTCTGATGACCCTGCCCGCGAACCAAGATGGCCGACATGGCTAATAATAGTACATAGGGTAAAATGCTGTTTTTGGCTCATATATCTAAACCCAAAGCATTTCAAGCAAATCTTTCAAAACAAAATTGTTCATTAGGTCAAGATCTATTTGCCCTTAAATTTTCAGACCATTCAGGCAACCAGTTGTTGGGTTGCTGCCCCTGAATTGGTAATTTTCAGAAATTTTTTCAGCTTTTGGTTATTATCTTGAATATTATTATAGATAGAGATAAACTGTAAACAGCAATAATGTACAGCAAAGTAAGACCTACAAATAAGTCAACATGACCAAAATGGTCAATTGACCCCTTAAGGAGTTATTGCCCTTTATAATCAATTTTTAACAATTTTCATAAATTTTGTAAATTTTTACAAAATAATTTTCACTGAAACTACTGGGCCAAGTTCATTATAGATAGAGATAATTGTAAGCATCAAGAATGTTAAGTAAAGTAAGATCTACAAACACATCACCATCACCAAAACACAATTTTGTCATGAATCCATCTGTGTCCTTTGTTTAATATGCACATAGACCAAGGTGAGCGACACAGGCTCTTTAGAGCCTCTAGTTTGTTCTAGTTAAGTTCTCATGAATTAATTGACCTATAATCATTTTTCTATTATTTCAGCTTTGTTAGACGAAAGTGCAAATAAAGAGACAGCACAAGATAGGACACTTAAATCTGAACCTGTGAAAGCTATTTTTAGAAGTCCTGTGTGTACATCATCGTGGATGAACGGAGAGGTAAATAATTTTAAAGGTGTTTTAAATTGTGCATTGTCAGATAAAATCAATTCCCTGGTTTTAATTTCATGTGTTTTAATATTCTTGTTGAAATCAAAGTTGAGAAATTTATTAATGTCGATTTTAATATGGTAAAGCGATATACTGCAACAAAGTCACAGAGGTGAAACTTTGGCTTGCTATTTCTGGTGGCAGTGGATACATCAACAATTGTTACTTTAAGAGGAACCACTAAAGCAGCATAGGAATAGACTGAAAAGTGTGTTGAGGGGGGGGGGGGGCTTTTAATTGATTGATTGATTGTTGGTTGCTTAACAGGGACTTTTGAAGGTGACAACCAACCAAGCAACAACAAAAACAAAAAAACACACATCTATAGTCTTATAGTCTATAAATTAGTTGGTGTACATTTTCATTTTCTTTCTTTTTCAAAATTTTGCCAAAGTTGTTTAAGTTTTTTATTAGGTCAGAATAAGGGGAACCACTGATAGTAAGTCAATGATATTTGATAGGAAGTTATATTAGCAATGGCACATCTCATTTCCTTGGAAATTAATGACACAGTCACATCAGTCATGCAAAAGAACAGACCAATAAAGCTATTAATTTCATGTTACAATTCTAATTTAACAATTATCTAGTCACTACTGCATTTTAGTTGAAATTATTTTATTTGTAGATGATTTCTGCTCTCCTTGTATTTAGTTTCTTTGTTTCTTGCATCTATTTTTCTTCACACTTTATGATAGGAATTTTTTTTTGATGATATTTGTTGGATTTACAGGTTGGTGATATTTCTTTTATGTCGTTACTGAATGAGACAGCCAAACCAGACCCTATAGTATCTACAGCAACCTTACAACCACAGACATTTTTCTTTGAGAATTCTCGAGATTCATCGATTATGGGGAAGTTTGATGTAAGTATGATTTTCATTGGTACATCATTGATACACTACTGTTACAGGTCTCTTATATATAGAATAAAGAAATTGCTCACATTTGTCACTGTGACCTACATTTTATGCTCTTTGAAAGCTGGTTATCATGGTTATGCTTCACACAATGGTAGAATGATAGACATGTATTGTTGTATATGATTGATATTTTACCACTTCTATTGTCAGATTTGTGAAATTGTAAAATACAGTCCTTTTTCATTTTTCCTCGCTATCTTACATTTCATGCTGGCTTTGTTTATCCTTGTTTTGAATTTAGATCACTATGTGTGTTTTGTATGCAGTTGATGGGTTTCATCTGAATTGATAAGGTATTCAATATCAATCTGTAAAGATCAATTAAGACAATCAGTGCAATAGCAAGGATATAATATATTGATTCTACCACTGCATCAAGTGTGTTACACAATATTTCTCCTCGAGACAGTTAAATTTTAATATTTAAAGCGCAAGGCTTGCCGAACTTTTTCGATAATTAAAATTTAACTATTGAGAGTGGAGAAATATCCTATTACACAAGTTATAGTGGTGGAATCTCTTTCTCTAGAAATTTTTACGATATCTGAACAAAGTTTATCCTTTTCAAAGATTTTCAGAAAGTTGTGTTCCTTATATGTGACATCATTAGACATGGTCACCTTTTTTTCATGACGTCACAATAGGAAATTCATAAGAAACCAAGAAAATTTGATGTCATAATTAAATTTCGTCCGATCATTTGCAGAGAAAACAGTTTTCTCTAGAGATGAGAAATATTTTTCTCACACTGGTCCACAAATGTGAAAAAAAGCATGAAATTAGAGAAACTTGTTTAAGTTATTAGAAAAAATGGAAAGGTGTATAGTATCTAGTGATATGTGGTAGTTTTCTTGGATTACTTTGTAAAGTGTGGTTCTTTTTGGTAGGTGTAAGAGTTTCTTCCACCGATGAAATTTATGCCGTAAGTTTTGTTTTATTTGTGTATAAAGTGATAATAATCGACCAAACAATCAAAAGAAGATAATTATAGTTGTCAAGTGTGTAATTAAATTACAGGCAAATACATAATTATTTGGTAAATGTCAAAATGGGTCGGCCTGCTCAAGTTAAAAAAGTATAAAGAGATGTGAAACATGACTTTAAGACTACCAAATAGGAATAGCTTAATTTTTTATGATATTTATTTGCCTATGTTTATAAACTTGTTATTACAATGTATATTTGTAGGTAGATACATTGATGAATGAAAGTAGTTTAGATTTTGTTGCCAAGTTTGCTGACCTCCAGGCTTTAACACAAGAAGATCCTATGGCAGACCTTACCAACTCTAAGAAGACCATCTCAAATGGATGACTTTGTTTTATGCTGTTTTTTTACATTTTTATCTACTTTCTGTCCACTCAATACAAAACATGTTTTTTACCCAGCCTCTGAAAGTGCTTCATTATTTATTTATTTTCTGTCTGAAGTATTTTTAGTTTTAATGCATGATGCTAATGAATAGAGATGACCAAACAATGGACCCAGAATGTAGTTGGTGAATCTAAAATTAAGGAACCCACTTTTTTAACCATTTGTAAAAGCTTAAGTGCATATTCACAAGTTTTTATGGTAGAGATTTCTTTTATTTTAAAATATGTTGTTACCTATAATATTCTGTTCAAAATTAATGAAAAATGAAGTACTTTGACTTTTCCTACCGAAGGTCGTTGGTACTCTCTAGGTACCCTGGCTTCCACCACCAATTAAAAACTGACGGCCACAAATAGCACAATAGTGTTGAAAGTGGCATTAAACACCAATCAATCAATGAAATACTTTGATAGAAAAGATTATTTTGAAATACATGTATTTGCTGCAAAAATATATATTTTAATTTTATTTGATATGGAAGTAAAAGGATGAAAATATCTGCGTTATATGGAATAAATTTGAAGATAAATATTGAAAGTTTACAAAAACATGTCTTCCATTTTGAAAATCCTGACTTTAAAATGTATTAATGTGTTTCGTGCTGACATTAATTGGCAATAGCATATTTGAGTATAATTCATAAAGAATTTAGTTCCTACAAGAAAACAATATATATCCCCATATGATTTTTAGAGAAGTTTGTTTATTTGTTTGTCACAGTATGCATAATGTGGATTTATATCTGACTCATGAATGTATGTTTGAATATATGTCTCCACTTGTGTATCCTAGTACATTGCTGTCTTCATCATGGTTATATTTCAGATACAGTCCCTGTTTTCCCATAGTGCTTATAATATTTGTGTGGTCATTAGTTCAGAGCAAATATGAGTGATCTTCTTTAGTTGTGAGTTGCTAAAAGGACAACAATTATGCCAAGGTGTTCATGATTTCTACTACACAAAAAATGAACTTGGAAGTATTATCAGCCAAAATTTTACTTTTTTGTTTTAACTAATGGATCTAATTTAAGATAGTCTTGATTATGGTTGTGTTTAAAACCTGACTATGAATTGTTATTTTTGACCGATATACAAGTAATTTGTGAAATTTATAAAGTTTTTGCTGGTAACAGGTATGTCTATTCATAGGACTACCTTGTGAGAAAAAAAAAGACTGTGTTCATTAGATATGTTGCATAATAGGTGTTGATTGTATTTAAGTATGATACCAGTGAAACTTGTGTTTTCATCTATGTTACAATTTTTATTTAAATTGAATTACTAAACATATATTGATATATAACTAGAGTTTTTGTCTTGCTTGCATGGAAAGATGTGAATGGTGAGACTGGGAATTACTCTTCAAATATCAATTACATTACATTGAATATTTCTGTGTGGTATTTGTCATGACCTTCTTGGATTGGTTTCCATGCTAGGCTTACAGCATTGTATTTGTTTATTCATTATAAGTCAACAGGTTTCCTTTGACTTTCACCTTAGATTCAGGGTTCATTCACTTTTTAAATATATGGCAGCAGGCTTGAAGTCAATATGTCAATTCTTGTTATTTTTCTTTTTCTAACTTGACTTTTGATCCATACAATTCATACAATATATTCCCTGCTCTTTAATATTATTTTTGTAGATTGTACACAAATATAAAATCTATATGCATGTTGATTTCATATCAGTTTGGTATAATTTAAGTATAAAAAATGAAATACTGTTATACATCAAACTTTCATCCCAGAACTAAACATTTTTATTATTCTGTTCACTTCTTTAAAGCATATTGATAGAGCTTTGAATACACCAGATTTTGTGTAATCAACTAATCTTACAGTTTTCAATCATCATCCTTAATACTTTACACAAAGATTACAGTCTACCTGCTTTTATATACTTATTTGAAGAAAATTTCCCCATATTTCCAGACTTAGGAACTTAGTCATTTTTTAGCAAATTTTCAGAAGACGGTACTAATTTTGTGTAGATAACTCCTCTTGCAGTTTTAAACTCGAATCCTTGAAACTTCATAGCAAGTTTGAACACCTATTGTAGTAGTAAACCTCCCAATATAAATATATAAATATGTAGTGGTTTAAAGATATTTTTCCATTTATACTTCTATGTACTTTTATGATCATTATAGACTATTCTTCATTGTTTAAGAAACAATCTTAGCAAGTTAAAGTCTTTGATCAATTTTTAAGACATTCAGCATGCTTTTAGAACTGCAGGTTTTTGTAATTTTATAAATAAATCTTGCCAAAAATTCTACGTTTCATTTTAACTGTATGTGAGACATTCATAAAAAGTGTGAAAAAAGTTAACTATTTAATAGTTTTACTATAGCAAACTGCATTTATATGTTAGCTCTCATTGAAAGCAAACCATGTCAATATGTATTTGAATATCCCATGTTTTTGATTATTCAATGCTCATTGTGAGTCAAAATTATAAGTAATTTGAAACCAGGGTCTTCCTACATGCAATAGTAGTAGTGTTTATTTGAAATTAGACGTAAAAACATATTGGTAATAAACTCTTCATTCATGTGTGATATATTAATTCTTACTACTACACTAAAGCATCTTTTTTTAAAGGGGGTCATGTCACATACTTTTACATACGTCCATTAATCTATACAAGATACAAGTTTAAAGATTGCACACAGACTATGTCGATATAGTATATAATGCATGGTAAATTTTAAAGTTACACGAGCAAATCACACATTTAAATGTTCATTATGTTCTATAAATGATGTATATTTATGAACCAATCATTTTCATACAATGTATAGATTTATATATCGATACCACCATTGCTATATTCCTCATTTTAAATCCATAATTGTAACCAAATAGATGTGTACTGCCCACCATTAATGAGTATTTACACATGAAAAAGATCAGAATTTCTGTTACAGATTCTTTTGAAAATTTAATTTGCAAGTTCAGAAGCGTACTATTTTAAAAAAATTTGAAAAACTGGAAATTTTTTCACATAGAAGAGATTGTGTCTTGAAGTTTTACAGAAATAACAGGATTATATTATTAAGAGTCCACAGTATAAAATCATACATGAACGATTTAGATTACTTGAGTTTGATGATTTTTCCAGAGTTAAAATTTATTTACTTTTTATCAAGTAAAATACGAATTATTTATCAAATTATTTGATGGTAGGCAGTATATTTTACAATACACATTATTAATTATTTACGTATAGTTACTTCCGTTGTTCATTGCAGGGATAATATTCCTGACATTAAGGCAGCTTTTCAAGTAGGTTTGTTGTTAAATATATACATGTTCATCATTTTCTAAAATGGCTGATTTAAAATCAAATTTAATGGCATCAGTAACTTAGTTTTGTATGTTGTATAAATGTCATTATTTACATCTATACAGCAGAAGCACTTATATGGACTTATTTGTTTCAAGTGGTCAATTCTACCTAAATTGTTTTAGAGAGCTTTAAAAAGAAAAGAGAAGGGGGGAGGGGGGGGGGGGGGGGATAGCGTTTGCAATCAGCATTGGTAATGTTCCTGAATATTCATGTAACAGTTGCCCTGGAAGTCAAGCAAACAACAATCAATTGATAAGAATCAATGAGGTGGAAAACCAGAAAAAAATACCAGAATTAAGCATTTTGTTTCATTCATCTGTTCCATTTCTGCTTCAAAGGAGTGTTTTAAGGTTTCTTCTACAATCTTGATAGCATTGACCACTTGCAAAAAAGTGAAAAGTTTTCTGCTGTATAAGGGATATTCCATTATAATGAAAGGGAAGTTGGGAAAGGACTTGCAAAATCCTCTCACAACCAACATACTTTCTTTCAGGAATTATGCATACTACACCAAATGCACTTAAATCCATAAATGACCCACCCTTATTAGAATTTCCCTTCCTACCTTTCACATCAATGGAATAACCCAATACTGATCAGACATCATAATATGTATATTTTGCAATATTATTTTAACATCCAGTAGAGGATTATTTCATTTGGATAATATCTGGCGAATCAATATTTGAACTTGAGATTTTTGTAGCTGTGATTTATTTTATGAATTAGACGACTTCAATCTTGAAGGTGAACAATGCAAGTTAAAGCCTATGTTTGGCATTATATAATTTTCTTCTATCTTTTAAAAACCATGTAGAAATTTGAAAATTTTATTTTGTTAGACTGTATAAAAAGAAGAAAATATATTCCTTCTTTAATGAAAGAGCCATGAGAAATATAGAAATATATCAAGTCAAACAATACATGGTAATTACAAGAATGTGAAGATGGTGGATATTTTTGCAGGAAATTAAAATGTTGGCAGCTGATTTAGTAACTTTTAAGAAAGACATTTTTTTTAATATGAGTATGAAGTAATACAGGATTTCATTTTGTGTTAGCAGTTAAGTGGTGTAAAAATACTTTTTTTTTTGTTTATCAAGTGCTATGCAAAGTTTTAAGTTACACAAACAAATCTGTCTCTATACATTATGAAAGTAGCCAGCGGCTCATTACACAAAAAATGTATAAATACTATCAAGTCCTGAACATTTCAGTATAACTTATGATCAGTTTTAGCCCTAAAATGTTTTGTGAAAAAAGCCCCAGACTTTAAAATTAAAATGAATTTAAACTTTTCTTTTAGCCAAAAAAAGTTTAAGTTAAAATTCTGTTGTTTCCGATTAGTCGTTCTGAATTTGCACACTAATATGGTGTATTAGTCATCAAAGACTTCAATAGTCAGACGATTTGTCATTGTAATGATTCAACTTGGTTAGAATCCGGGTATGGAGTAAAGCTTAATTTCAACAGTGATTCAAGTTTTGTAGGAAAGTTTAAAACAGCTTAATAAAAAAATTACATCTTTTACTTTGTATACTGTTAAGTTATTAGATTTTTTCCCATTTATTTTGCAAGACAGTGTATTATAGATACCAGCTGTAATATTTGTAGAACTTACCAGATACCAGTAATGTTAAAATATGGTTAGTGCCTCAAACTAAAAGTTGTTTTCTTTGATAATAAAGTTTTGGTTTAACTTTATGACAAAGTTTAATCCTCTGTTTTACACAAGAAAATACTGTAATTTGACAAAACTTTAAACCGAGTGTATTTTTGAAGATCTGTTTGTGTTTTTATAAGTAGCAAGAAGAAAATGTTATGCTTTATTTAAAAACCAATAATAAAAGGTTTGTTTGAAGACAGACAGTGTTTTACTGATTGATCTGTTTGTTGTTAATGTCCCACGCCACAGTTGATATGGTAATATTATTTGCCTGTCTTTGCATCCTTTAGTCTGTCCAAAACACATCAATGCTCCCAGACTCTTTGACAGAAAGCTTGCATACTTGGTAGCATTGTGTTTTAATACTTGACCATTCTATGTAGACTCAGTTTGATTTGACAATTTAGTAGGAGAAATGAGATTTAAAAAAAATAAGTATTGTTACAATGACACCTTGTGAACGCAACAGCTCTGAGACTGTTTAGCAGAAAATTGGCATACTTGGTAGGATTGTTGGCCATCATGGGTGTTTTACCATATTTTATTGTCAATTTTTGATCGAACTTTTTTTCAGGAGTATTGTACCTCATGGACATTTGATAATTTCTGAGACCATTTGAGAGAATGCTCTCATACTTGGCAGGATTGTTTGCCACCATATGCAGTTGACCATATTATACCATCATTTGATTTGATCATTTTACAGGAGTTATCACTGTGCTCACAGTTTAAGGTGGATCATCTGTATATATTTCCTTGGATAGAATTTTCTTATACTTTGCCAAAATGATACCGGTTGTGTTCTTCTCATATATTTTATGATGGTATGATACTAAACCCCTAACGGGAGGGATTGTGCTTGATTTTCATTTGATGAAGACATAATCTTTCAATCAGTTTAATTGAGGTCTGGAGCTGGCATGTCAGTAACTGCTAGAAGTCCTTTGTTAATTTGTGTTATCATTGTCATTTTGCTTAGTTTCTTCTGTTACCTATTCTAACATCGGACTCGGACTTCCTTTAAACCGAGTTTTACTGTGCGTATTGCTATGTGTTTGTTTATTCTACAGCTAGAGGTATAGGGGGAGGTTTGAGATCTCACAAAACATGTTTAACCCCGCCGCATTTTTGCGCCTGTCCCAAGTCAGGAACCTCTGGCCTTTGTAAGTCTTGCATGTTCTTTTTATAATTTTGGTTCATCTGTATCTTTTTATAATTTTGGTTCATCTATATGTTTCGGAGTTTAGTGAGACGTCCATTTCCTCTGAACTAGTACATATTTTTGTTTAGGGGCCAGCTGAAGCCTGCCTCCAGGTGCGGGATTTTCATTGGTGGCCTTGAGCTGTTTTCTGCACTTTGGTCGGGTTGTTGTCTCTTTGACACATTCCCTATTTCCATTCTCAATTTTATTAAGGAATATACAAGGTATATACAGTAAATAATATGATTTTTCGATGTCGAAAAAAGTAAAATAACAAAAATACCGAACTCCAAGGAAAGTCCTTATTCAAGTGGCAAAATCAAAAGCTCAAACACATCAAAGGAATGGAAAACAACTGTCATATTCCTGACTTGGTACAGGCATTTCCTTATGTAGAAAATGATGGATTAAACCTGGTTTTATAGCTAGCTAAACCTCTCACTTGTATGACAGTCATGTAGAATTCCATTATATTTAAAACAATGTGTGAGCAAAACAAACAGACTTAATAGGTACAAATGTCAAAAATTGGGGTACAGCAGTTAACATTGTGTTATAATCTAAATCACTATAAAAACAAATAACTAAGAACTAATAACTAATGGCATGTAGACACTCTATAGACGAAGTACATAAGCGAAAATGAAAGACAAGAATACAAAAATGACCATAGCACAATTACCCAATGGTTATGTATAAATAACCAAAAATGGATTAAAGAGTAAAACTTAGAAATAGTCCGGTAGATTGGTGAAAAAAATGTGTGTTTGAAGATAAAAGCACCAAATTTGGTATGGTAGTAGTTTTTGGTGTTTCAAGCAATATAAGCTATGGACCCACCTTGCAATTTCAATATGGCGACTATCTCCAAGATGGCCGCCATACAATATCAAAATCAACATAAATCACTTATATAAGGTCACCTTGAATTATAATCCTGGTACCTTTGATAACTATTTACACCACTGGGTCGATGCCGCTGCTGGTGGACGTTTCGTCCCCGAGGGTATCACCTGCCCAGTAGTCAGCACTTCGGTGTTTACATGAATATCAATTATATGGTCATTTTTATAAATTTCCTGTTACAAACCTTTGAATTTTTCGGAAAACTAAGGATTTTCTTATCCCAGGAATAGATTACCTCAACCGTATTTGGCACAACTTTTTGGAATTTTGGGTCCTCAATGCTCTTCAACTTTGTACTTGTTTGGCTTTATTACTATTTTGATCTGAGCGTCACTGATGAGTCTTATGTATACGAAATGCGCGTCTGGCGTATTAAATTATAATCCTAGTACCTTTGATAACTATTGAAATTATTATTGCGGCTTTCTTCCAAAATGGCCGCCACAAAATATCAAAATCAACAAATATCCCTTATATTAGTTCAAATTTGTCATTTTATGAGTGCTAGGTGCTTCAAACAACATAAGCTATGGACTCAAATTGAAATTTCAATATTGCGGCCTTTTCCAAGATGGCTGCTATAAGATATCGAAATCAACAAATATCCCTTATAGAAGGTTACAAAGTGTTTTATTTTGATGTACCTGCAGTAAAACTAAGTGCCATATAATACCAAGTGCATGCCACATTTATATACTAAAGACATCCATCAAAACATTTGTGTGGAAAGTGTAGAGAATCGCAACTACGGTACCATTCTTGCAGAACAGTAGTCAACAACGAGGGATCACGTATAGACACTGGCGTTATTCCAATATTTAAGCTAGACTTAACTAGAATGTATACTTCTCGATTCGAACAGTTTTCTTTATGGTCAATTGGAAGAGGACATAGTAATGATCTGAAAAAAAATGCAGTAATCTCAGGCTTGCCAGGCCATTAACAAGGCATGTGCTTGGTTATCATTATTTTGGTGTTGCATTTAAATAAGTAACCGCAACAATCTGTTTGTATGACAATGGTATTTGAAAAAAGCTGCACATGCTGGTAGTTCAAAAAGACATGATGTAGGCAAAAGTTTTTTCCACAGTCATTAAAACATTAGTTGATAATCGTTCAGCCAAATATTCAGATGCCGTCGAGTTATTCTATTGAGGCAAATACGACGCTATCCATTTCAAAGTTACTTCTGTGTGTTTTTCTCTATTTTTCTTTAATATTACATTCAACTGAACTAAACCCATCTCAATGTAAATAGGCCTTCTTATGAATGCTAGGACCAGAAAAGGAGGTACTAAATGACCAAAATGTAGTTTACGTTTATCGTTTATAAATGACCCAATTATCAATGTATCTACAGTACTAGAAGATTCCATCTTTGAAACATTCAACATCGAATATGTGGTTCCTCCCTCAAATCCTGGTTGTTTTACTATAGCAGCCGTGGACAATATTGACAACAACAAGAGTTCCACTACGACTAAAGAATCGTTACATTCAGCATCTTCTTAGTCTACCTTGGCAAATTCATCATAACCTTATGCTTTAAAATACATGCATTTCCCTTATAATCTCTGGTACTTTCACCTATATATTATGCGCCAGCACAACTGTTCGTATTATTGCCCTAACTTGGTTTATAATATACATATATTACTATAGAATTAGATACAATGAATATCCTTAATACTAACCAAATATAACCATGCGTTTCATACTTACATCTTATAATTACTGTTTTTTATTCACATGCAGTCTGTCAATTGTCTAACCAGAAATACATGTATGCCAACCTGGTACAATTAGTCAATCTATCCTTAAATGGTATGAATAAGTTAACAAAAAGATAACACAGATGACCTGGAGCAGATGATAATGAAAACATTAGATATGTCAGGACATCAGTCCACGAATGTAGAGCCAAAACAAATGGTCATCCGCCTTTATATATCAGTCCGCATTGACCAAAGTTTCAGGAAGAGATCAAATCTATCACAACGATTCGACATTCCATGAATACAATTCAACAATGTATTATTTTTTTCCGAGACATGTATCAATTATCACTTGTCAGCAATCGTTTTTTTTTTTACAAAAGCGAAACAGTGGAATCGGCAAACATATTTCTAGCAGAACAAAGAATGTTTTTGTTTTAGGTCTTGATATAAAAATTGTATCGTTGAGAATTTTATGTGATTGGTTAGAAAACAGTGGTTGAACAAGTGTTCAATCAAGGGAACAAAATACTTCATGAACAGCAGATTCTGTTTTAGGGCTTTCATGCATCATGAACAAGACATTTCCATGAGGTTACAGTAGGTGTACTTCTCATTCTTATGAAAATATCCTGACATAATTTTTACCGACGAACGAGACTCTGATGAGAACTGTGTAACATTCAAAGAATGGAGTAACAAGAGGGAAATTGAGAATCCACTTAACCACAACTGGTCTGTAACATTAAAGATTGAACTAGACATGTTGATGTGAGATCATAAAGAGAATGTTCAATCTTGGTGCATAAAGATTTCCTTATACTGCTTATTCATTGAATCGTTGCATTTTGCCTTCCAGTTATGGCTTCCAGTACCCGAGTGCTATATTATGTCATTTAACTATACAGTTTAAATGTTACAAACGTAGTTTGAAAATGGAAATGTCGATTAAGCCCATGCGTAGAATTACACACCTGTAAAAAGAGAAGGTGGGGCAATCAGATTGACAATAAACATCGCACAACTACAGCATTTAATGGTGTTTTGTCTCGAAATGGCCATAGTTATTAACAAGTTTCAGTCCACCTTTAAAATCATTTAACGTGAGGTAAACCACATGATGTTCTACATCAGGAACGTTTTTGAAAGCAAACACAACGTTCTCAAAGCATGCGAAAGCTTAAGGCGTGGAATGTTTCGCCCTTTCTCCCATAGTGCTACTTAGAGTGACTGTGAATGGCATATCGACACTTATCACAAAGGTATCAGCATTTTGTAATGAGCTAATAAAATATGGTTGACAGATATAAAACGAATGTCACGGTAGATAAAGTTGCGCGAGGACAATTGTGTTATGTAAATACTAAATGGGCTGTCCTTAAGAAACATTTTGA